TTACAATTAATATTAAAATACAATTTTAATTTTCTTCTTTTTTTGGTGTTCTTGTTTGAAATATATATATAGTAGGGTTATAAGAAAGACTTTGAAACTTTGAAGATTGAAATTTGTCTTGCAGGAGTATTTGGAGGATAAAATTTTCCAAATTTATCATGGTAATTGGGGAGGATCTGAACTCGTTTGTGTATGGCACATCCATCACAGTTTTATGAACCACCTTAACTATGTTTTTCCCACGTTTATAAACTTTGCCTAGGATTTCACGGATGCACCTACAATTTTGGGGATGAAGGCAACATAGAATCAATGAGGAAAAAATGATCAAAATGGTCCGGTAACTTTTTAGGAAGGATCAAAATGATCCACAATTAAGTTAAGAGATCATTTTGATTACTTAACTCTTTAAAATGGAACTATTTTGATCCCGTCAACTAAGTTAAGATTTAATGGTGTTAAAATAAGAGGTAATTTGGTTATTTTTTTTTATTTTAGCTATTATTATATATTATTTTCAAGCAAAAATGTAAATAATTAACTTCCGATGAATCTACAAAATATAAAATTTGGACAGCAGCTACAAAACAGAAGAAATGAAAAAAAAAAGTTCTTCCAACTCAAATGTAACCCCTGGTAAAGTTTCTTATCTATATAAATAATTAATATAAATCAATAATAATAAAAATATATGACAAATAAAATGTTAAGCAACATATACACACACTCTTTCGATCAGTTCGACATCGCTGTGGGTTCAACGCTGCTAGGGGTTCGAAGCCAGGGTTTGAAGATGCTGAGGGTTTGAAGCCGAGGTTCAAAGATGTTGAGGGTTTGAAGCCGGGGCTCGAAGATGTTGAGGGTACGAAGCAGGGGGTCGAAGTTGCGAGGGAGTTCATAGCTAGGGTTCGAAGCTGCTGAGGGTTTGAGGTAGAGGGTCGAAGCTGGTGGGGGTTCAAAGCTGATGGGTGTTTTCATTCTGGGGTTTCAATACGACATTGCTCGTTTTGTAGATTTTGATTTCACGTAATTTTTGTTATTCCTAATATATCCTTCGGCCATCCCACATTTACTTATTTTTTATGTTAATTTTTAACGGTGAGGCCAAAATGATTCAATTTTAAAGAGTTGATGGATCAAATTTCTTAATTTTGTTGGAGATCATTTTAGCCCCTTTTTCAATCAATGAGTGGGTTTCAAAACTATTAAATTCTGGAAGGATGAGCTTTTGGCATATTTTTTTTTGCTGATATAATGAGCACGCTAGAGGCTGAGTTTTTTAGTAAATAACTAAAATTATAACAGGTGTTATCCGAGTGCCAGTCATGCTTAAAACCATTTCTTTTCAGGAATTCCTCTGTCGAAGTTGTTGAGACAAGTTAGCAGCCTTCATACCTATGGAATTTGAAATGCTTGTTCATTTATTCATGGTTTATGTGTTTTTGTAACTGTCAGAGTATGGAATAGTTGCAGATTGTATCTCAGCATGGAGTGGTTTATCCTAACAGTTGGCAAGGACTATTTAGGCTTCGTTTGGGACGATTTTCTTTTTGCTTCTTAAAGCAGTTTTCTAGTATAAATTTTTTAATTTTTGTACTAAAAAACTGCTTTAAGAAGCAACAAAAAAGCTATCACAAACAAAACCTTATTCTGATCATACTAACATGCAGAACTGCTGCATTTATATCTGTGGCAGTGTGTTTGGAAGTTCTTTCTCCCTATGTAAGTCCAAATTCAATGCATTAACTTATATCAATCTTACCAATATTTGTATTTTGTTCCCCACCATTTTCATAAAAAGAACACATTGCTACTTTTTGCGAGATACCTAAGGAATACTAGGTTTGCTTGAACTTTGCTGATATACTGTTAGGCTGGTTCAACCTGAACCGGCCTAGCCGGCCCAAAAGCCAGCTCTTGTTTGCAAGAGGCGGACAAGAGCCGCCTCCCTTTCTTCTTGCCGCCCAAACTAGTGGGCCCCACCAGTAGCAAATTAAAGAAAGAGGGGTGGGCGGCTAGGATGGGAGGAAAAATTTTGAATTAAGGAGTTTGAATTGGGGAATTAATGTATTAATAGTATGGGTTGTTTAGGGTTAGGGTTATGCATGCTTTGAGTGGTTTTCTTTGGTTCTCTTGAAGTTTCTTTGGCATATTGGGCTTTAGATTCATCGTCTAGAGATTGGGAGAGAACGATCCTCCTCTTGAATTGATGATCAATTGTTTCTTGCTTTATGTTTGCTTTTGCTATGAATCCACTATTGCAATCTATCATTTTGGATTGATTTGATCGATATTATCGCATTATTTCCGCTGTTTTTATCAATTATTGTTAGGGTTGTTTGGGAACTCAAGTATTTCCTCTTCGATTACTTGCGAACTCCAGTATTTCCTATCATATACCTCTTTTACATTTTTTTAAAGTGATGATGGAGAAATATGTTATTTAAATTTATAATCTTGAAGAAGCAATCTTCTCTAATCTCTAGGCCACAATTCATTCCAGAGCTCAGTTTGATTGCAGGTGCTTTAGTTCATATGAATTCATTGTGGTTTTGTAATAAAGGTGTTATCTCTGGAAGGAGACAATGATGGAATTGATCCCTATTATTATTATTTATTTTTTTTAAATATCAAAATAGTTATTCCGTGGGATCATTTAGGTTCCTATTTAAAAACTCAAATGATTTAAATTGGATTTTTGAATAGTCAGAGATTATTTTGATCATTATGTCTACTTAAAAGGTATTTATGCTAAATCTGCAGTTACCAAATTTTCAATTCAAGGACAGTAGCCTGTAAGTTCCCATCAATGATTTATGTGATGTTCAAGTTGGGCTTCATTTGGGACAACGTTCTTACTGCTTTCTAAAATGGCTTTCAATTCAAAAATTATTAATATTAGGCTCTAGCTGAGCTCGTTTACTTGAGCTTATTTGAAAAGCTCAAGCTTGAATCAAAAAAATAATTAAACATGTTTAATTTATGTTTTATTATATTGTTCTGAAACTAGTCTTGAAATATGTTTCATTTGTTTGATTTGCATGATTACGAGTCGAGTCAGGTTGAACTCGAGCTCTAGTATAGGAGCGAGCTTGAACTAGTGACTCAATAAGTTCTTTTTGTGAGCCCATTAACGAGTCGAGTTTGAGCCGGTTGGTGAGTCGACTCTGTTCACTTTCACCCCCTAATCTTAGGTAAATTATTGCGTCCGGTGTCCGGATTTGTCAGGACACCAATCCTAACGCGCCACATCATCAAAATACACCGGGACTCAGTGTATTCAAGTGATGTGGTGTATCTGGATTGGGTGTCCGGATGTCCGGTTACCGGATGCAATAATTTGCCCTAATCTTATGATGCATTAGTTTAGGTTGGACTTTATGACATTAACTCTCTTCCGCAAGCATTTAAATTATTCTATTTAAAAAAAAAAAAGTAAAAAAAGTATGAACTTTTTTGGTCGAGATATATAATGAGAGAAGAGCATAACTTATTTTTAATAAATTTTTATAATTACTCATTATTGTAAACATTTTTAATCAATAGATATTCATTTATTAGAATATGAGATTTAATTTGGGTCAGCGTTACAACACCTTAACACAATAATATAATTATATTAATAATAACAGTGAAATTATAAAATAAATGTGTGCAATATGTGATTATTTTTTATAAACTAATATAGCTTTAATATATATCCAGAAAATTCATTTGGGCGGTCTAAATCTCAAAGCATATTTTAATTCGAAACTTTCAAAATGAAATTCAAGATCATCTAAATTCTGATGTTTATAAATTTATAATCGAATTGAATGTCTCCATAAGACGAGCCTAATGGCGTGAAGGTAATTAGACTTGACTTCAAATGAGCCAAAATTTAAAATCTCAAGCATAGTTGGAAATTTGGACATTATTTGATGATCAAATAGTCTTATAATATTGCATGCTTAATGAGATGAATCTAACAAGATCAAAATTACTCAATTATGAGGTTATTGATACACTTAGATGCTTAATAGAAGGTCTATGATTAAAAGATTCGATATGAACTGTCTCATGGAATGTTGCAAAATTTTGCTTAAATATATCAAAATGATTGCTTAAAATATATAATGAATAAATCTTCAATCTCCAAATGAAAGAAACCTTGATCAGAGTGATTTTAGTGTTTGAAAATTTGAAGAACTCTAGAGCTCTATATAATATTCAACGCTAAAGATTACTGTAATTTATCGTCATCGTTTGATTGCCATCATCCAACTGTCGATACCTGACAAGTATTACAACCGCTATTTCTCGCTATTATCACTTGATTATTTTTGTCTAATCATCATTATCCGACTAATATCATATAACTATTACATCTCCAACATTCTCCCTCGTATTTATAAAAATACAAATTTGTAATACATTCATCCCCAATTGAGAGGGATAGCATATTTTTGCAATATATCTATATATAGTAATCATTTTAAATTGGTTTTGTCTTATGATTTTTTTTTCATATATATATATATATCTTTATTTTTACTCTCTCTTTTTTTATATGGGTGTGATAGATTTTCATGTAAAATTAGGACGTAAAAATAAATTTTTATTATTGTAAATATTCTAACATGTAAGATTAAATGCGTGAGGATATAATTATAACTAATTAACATCTAACCATAACTAATTAATGGAAGTCTAAGAGAAAAATTGTGAAAATATTCCATTTTTATGAAAGCTTAGTGTTAATAAAACCCTTACAACACACATCTTGATCTTGCGATTCTCCGGAATCATCTTCCGAACTTCTAGAACCATCTCTCTCGGCATTGGACAAATGACGATTCGCTTAAGAAATTCCCCTGGATCACTTTATGCTCCATTGATCTTCCAAAAGGCGGAGGCTTTAATTGCCAGATCAAACGTACGCTATCCATGAAAGAGGATAGCAAATGACCTCTTGAGGAGCATTGGACCAGCCCGCACCAAGATAAAGCTGGTGAGTACCTTGGAGGCTAGAGCTAAGTGGAGATCGCTCGCTAGGGTTTTACCTTCTCTAGCATTTCTGAACAGCATAAGCTTCTCTTCTTTCTCGTTTCACTGAAGGAAGGGAGCGGCGATGGCCTCCATTCAGCTAGCTGGGTGTGGATTGGCTGGAAAGAAGAGCCTCCCATGCTTTGATGGCCTCCGCTGCTTGCGACCTGCTTTCGGTGTTTCTTCGTCGCTTGGAGCTAGCGGAGCTATCCTTGACCGTAGGTGCTTCAAGGGACTTGTTATAAAGGCCGCCACTGTGGTTGTTCCGAAGGTAAATGAATAGACTGTAGATGGTTGATAGGTTAGTAATGTTCATGGATGTAGCTGATATGCTTACGGGAATTTTCTGCTCTGTCATAGTACACCTCAATTAAGCCATTAGGAGAAAGGGTTTTGGTTAAGATTAAGATTTCCGAGGAAAAGAGCACAGGAGGCATATTACTGCCTACTGCAGCACAGACAAAGCCACAGGGAGGTGAGGTTGTTGCTGTTGGTGAGGGAAAAACCATTGGGAAGAAGAAAGTAGACATTAGTGTCAAGGTAATGTTTACTTTTTGACCTTCTTATGTTGCATGCCATGAATTTAGACTTTTATGTTTTTTAATGATCATGTCAACTGCGGCAGAGTACTTCATTTTTAGTTTAGGTGATTGTTGCCTATGATATTTAACTTGTTCTAGTCCTGATTTGATTTACAACATCCTCTGTGCTGATAGAATTTTATTGTAATTAAGGTGAATTCTAGTCTTTTATGGTGATGGTTATGTTCTTTTGCTCTTTTGCTAGTGATTTGATTTATGAGATCTTATGTGATAATTGAATTCATTATATAAAGAAAATTTTTATCTTCGAGCTCTTGATCTAAAATTTGCTGCTTGTTGAGAGGAAAGAAATTTTTTGTTTCCTCTCTATGGATTATTAAAGTACATGCAACATCAAGGTGATGCAAATGTTTTCTTTCACCTTTGTTATCTTATTGTAGGTATGATTTGATAAGGTGTTGGTAGATAACATGTTAACTAGAAATATTATGACATATAAGATGCTATCTAGAGTTATTTAGGAGGTGGTAGGGATAAATCCTTTTCCAGAGAGGGAGAGGGAGAGGGAGAGAAGGAGAGAAGTAATTATGATAGTAGGAAAACTTTGCATGGTAAAGGCTGAAATAATTGTGAGTTACTTGTCAATTTATACACCATGGGCAACTATTACGTTAAGTGTTCCGGAGATGAGGATGCTTAGGTGGATGAGTGGCTTTAATCTTAAAGACAGGATATGAAATGAGCATATATGTGAAAAGGTTGGAGTAGCTCCAATGGAAGATAAGATTAGAGAGAGTCATCTTAGATGGTTTTGTCACATAAAATGGCAGCCTCTGGATGACTCGATTAGGAAAGTAGATATATTAGATTTCGCTTATAATAAGGAAGGTAGAGGTAGGCCAAAAAAGTCTTGGTTAGAAAATGTTAAAAATGACATTTCTTTATCAGATTTAAATGAGAATTTAACTCTTCGCATGACATAATGGAGAAAAAAGATTCATGTACCCGACCCCACAGTGGGATAAAGAGTTGATGTTGTTGTTGTTGTTGAGCAGCTATCATAGAGCCAAAGGATGAACTTACATGGAAGATATAATTATTTTTGTGTTATGGTGAGTAAATTATATTTTTCTTGTGAGAGTTTTGAAAGGTATATTAGCAGAGTCATATAAGTAACATGTTGAATAATAGGAACATATCAAAACTTTTCTCAATCATGATTAGTGATTGGTTTCATGATAGTGTTGACTAGATGGAAAAGACGTGGGTGGAGAGAAGGGGGGCCAGAGGAGGCACGACGCCCCAAAATTTAATAAAAATTTTATATTATTTTTGTATTATCATTATTTATTTTTTATTGAAATAGAAATATAGTTAAATCATCACCTTTATTTTTTTAATCATCTCCTTGTAGCTTTGGTTTTATATGAAAATAAATTATGTTTGGATATTATAATCAAAATTTCATGTTGATAAATTAAAAAAATTAACAATTTGTTTTAAGATAAATGATCTATAAGCTTTTTTAGTTATCATTATTAAAAAAAGGACTATGAAATACATAATAAGATTAGTGGATGAATGATATTTTAATCATTTTATTGATAAATAAATATTTGATTGTATTGATAATGAAGTAATTGTTAAACTTTTAAACAATATGGAAATTAGGCATTGTTAATTATAAGTATTTTTTTACATCTTATATTTTACCTTTTCAAGAAAATAATTACAAACTTTTTTTTTGAATTGCCGATTTTGGCCTTAAGTTTGGATGAAAAAAGTTGAGATAGTTTTTGAAAAAAAATAATTTGTGCCTCCACTAGAAAACTTACCTGGTTCCTCCATTCATAAAGGACTCGTATCCACAAGTACATCCACCACCCCAATCACCATGTCCATGAGTACCATGACTATCTTTAGTGCTAACAATAATGGCACTATGATCAAGGGTAAAAGGAGTAGTTAACTTAAGCCCTAAGTAATGTGTGAGAGATTGATGAATGAATTTGGGATCGCAAAGTTGACCATTAAATTGTCTTTAATAGATTGGAGTGATGGATAGAGGTAATCACATGGGAGATAATAGTTATTTGTGTTTTGTAGTAGACAAGTCATAGTTATTTTGGGAAAATGTTTTAGAAGGCATATTATTTGAGTTAGTTTATTCCTAGTGACATGCTTAGTAGTGGGATGATATATGAACATTCTTTAATAATGATAAGATAATGATTAATTTTTTAGAGTGATGATAAGTTAGGAATCGTTTCCACTATCATGTCCACCACCTTGACCGCTACCACTACGGCCATAATTACGTAGAATACTTTTAATACCAACAACAAGAGCATTGTGGTCAAGAAGGAAATGAAGATGGAGTAGGAAGCTCAATTAGATCTAGAGAACATGAGAGTGTGATAGATATATTGGGGGTCACATGGTTTGGTTGTTGACTAAGCTTGAACATATTAGAATGATGGATAGAGAACTGTGCGGAAAGTAACAATTCAGATCTCCTTATTTTATTTTTGCCAAGTGTTTGGAAGAATGGAGGGATGTTGTTAAAATAAAAAAGAAGCTCATCCTATTTGGTTTTTAAGGTGTTATAATATTTGAATAAAAATCTGTAATACAGAATGGTCTAAATATCAGCTAAAGCTCGTCCTACTTGTCTTAACCCAAATTTAGCTAAGGTTATCCATTTTTTGTATCACTTAACTTTTGGTAATCATATAAATATCTACAAGCTTTATATGATATTTGGACCATTCTGTATGGCAAAGAAAGTGGCCAAGTATTCATTTGCTTGCTTGTCAATGGAAATTGGTTTTTAAAAATTATGTTTTTTTAATGCATTTTATTAAGAGGATTTTGAAGTGGCGTTTGGAGTTGAAAGTCAATTTGATTTTTATTTACTTTTAACCAATTGAAATGAGAGAGTGAAACAGATTACATGTTATTTTTCTAAATCTGCTTCAACTTCCTGCAACCAAATGGGCATGGTGCAAAATCAACATTGCCTATCTATTCTTGCTCCTTAAGGTTGTAGCGTGCGAGAATGTTTCTTTTAAACATTTTTATATGTGAAGTTGTGCTGTTGATATTATGTTTTCTCTCATCTCTTTCTTGTCAATCTAGACCGGCGCAAAGGTTGTTTATTCAAAATATGCTGGAACTGAGTTGGAATTCGGTGGATCCAATCATATAATTTTGAAAGAAGATGACATTGTGGGCGTTCTCGAAACTGATGATGCCAAGGATATACAGCCCTTAAATGATAGAGTTCTTATCAAGGTCTGTTTTATTATTATTATTATTATTATGGATCATTACTGTTAGGTGTTCTTCTCTCATACCTATCTTTTTCCTGTTTGCATTTGAATGGGCCATCCGTTTTTTTTTTTTTAAGCTTAAATGCTAAAATTCATAGATATTTTAGTAGGTCACTTGAAGTCTGCTATAAGCTAACAATTTAATCCTGCATGTTAATTTCATTCAGGTTTCCCTTGCTGAGGAGAAAACTTCCGGTGGCTTGCTGCTGACTGAGGCAGCCAAAGAGAAACCTTCAACTGGGACAGTGAGTAACTTAAGTTGCTTTTTTTAGGTTTTGTTTGGGACGGCTTTCTTACTGCTGCTTAAAGCAGATTTTTAGTTAAAATTTTTAATTTTTTATTAGAAAGCTGTTTTAAGAAGCTTTAAGAAGCAGTAAGAAAGCCATCCCAAATGAAGCCTTAATCGGTGGTCAAATTCTAAAATATAAATTTGCTTTACTTCTACTTCTATGCAGATCAAATTTCATTTTTTCTGTGGTTAATAGGTTATCGCAGTTGGTCCTGGTCCCTACGATGAAGAGGGTAACAGAAAGCCACTAACCATCAACGCTGGAAGCACAGTCCTGTATTCAAAATATGCTGGAAGTGAATTCAGGGGGGGTGATGGTTCAGATTACATTGTCTTGAGAGCATCTGATGTGATCGCTATTCTCTCCTGAGTTTCAGAGTTGCCTGTTGTGTAATGCATTGGCTTTTTTAGGTGAGCTATTACTAAGGTCTTTTTTTTTCTCAGGCATAGTTTCTGCTGTTTTGGATTTGATTCCAAGTTGCTCAAGTCTTCTTCTTCTGTTCTTCTTTTATTTCCGAACTTTTACATGGAACTGTGGTTGGAATTTACTTAATTAAGCATATAGATACTTACATTTTGGGTTTGATGTTAAGTAGGCCTCATTTGGGTGGGTGAGAATATGGTGCTAGTAGATCACTAGGTGCATTTTTAAGCCTGTCAGCATCGGATATATTGGAGAACTAGGGATGCTAATATTTGACACGACCCGAAAACTCAACTCGAACCTAATCCGGAATTAAAATTCCAGGTTAGGGTCAACCCGGACCCGAAACGACTTAGTTTTAAAAATCAGGTCGGTTGTGGGTTGACCGTTTGACCCGAAAACCAAGATTGACCCAAAAAGCGGAGATTAACTCGTTTTTTACCCATTTTTTTACCCAAAAATTAGTAATTTTTTTTTCATGGTCTCGGGTCGTGTTGGGTTGACCCGGACCTAAAGTGGGTCGGTTTGTGTCTAAAAAATTGACCCGTTTGCAAAAAAAATGATTTAGGTTTGGGTTGACCTGAATAGTGCCGGGTCAGTTTTGAATTTGACCCGAATTCGACTCGTGACCCGAAATTGACATTCCTGGAGAACTGTAGTGTTACTAATGTCATAGACAGGAGTCATTATCCCAGCATAGTATAAATTGGCAGGCCTAGGTGGGATCATCGCAGCATATGCCAAAATTGTTTTGTATATCCTTTCATTTGAGCCCTGTCCATCCATTCTATTCAAATGACTAGCCGCCATGCATGGCTTTGGGATCAACACAGCATTTAAAGAAATCGATGCAGTAACTGGACTAGATGTTTGTGAACTCTTAGAAGCGCTGCCCACGCAATTTTGAGATGAGTTGAATGATTATAGGAGACAGATTAGAACAATGGATAGAGCATTGCATAGAGATTTATTCTTCTTGTGAGGAATTTCTTTGAATTTGTTTTGATAGTTTTCCAAGGGTGCAAGCACACCCAAGGTAGAAATTATTCTATGTGGATACAGAGCGTAGTTTATTGTCCGGAGATCAACCAGAGTGTGTCATGTCAGCGGTACCGAGCATGGTATCGAGTGTGGTACTGCGGAAGCTGGGGTGATGTGACACATTTTGGTTGGTCTATAGACTATGTTTGTCGTCCGCACAGAATAACTTGCACATGCCGCAAGGGTTGAAATTGATTTGAGTCGTCAATTTTGGTGCAATATTAGATGTATTGAGCAATGAATGCATGCGTTTATGAATATACAAACATTTATTGGTGTCAATTTATAATCCACTTGGTTAGAGGGCTTTTATCATTAATATATTGTAATGACATAATTTCTCAACTAAGGATATTTTTGATGTCCAAACTGACTTGAAATTTTTAACTGACATGATGCTTATGTATCTCAAAGATGCTCGGGGTTTCACACTATTTTTTTTTTAATAATGAAAGCTATTAAAGGGGTAAAGCCTATGTTTTTTTTTCCCCTTAAAAAAAGTCTCTTCATTGTGCTGACATTCTCTCTTTTCTGAATAAAATGAGAAGAGAAAAAAAAGCTTTTCCTATGATTTTTTTAAGAAGAATTAGATTCTCTTAGCTATGATGATTCTTTAACTATATTAATTTTTTTTAATTACTCAAGTACTTAAAGAGAAATTAAAATAATTTTATTGCAGGATTATTTTAGTTCTTTAAAAAATTGAGAGATCAAGATGATTATTTAATATAATTAGGAATTATTTTGTTTTTTATTTCATAAGAATTAAGGAAAGTCGTAGTCCAATATTATTGGAAAATGATTATTGAGGTTCTCTTTATAATATTTTATGAATTTATTGAAAAATTATTATGAAAAAAAATAATTTAGTTATTATTATAAAAATAATTTATAACATATAAGTTTTTGCCAAATAAAAATATGATTATTGTATGTATGATAAAATAGCGAGAAAATTGTTCCAAAATAATTGAATAAAAAGTCATAACATATTGAATTAGATTTAAGAATTATATTTATTATGAATTTAATACATATGAGAAAATTTTACATAAAAGCATCAGAATTCAGAACAATATGAAAGATGCATAAAATTATTCAAGCACTCAAACTCTCAAAGTTCTTTATACAAATCATCATGAAAACATTTCAAATTCACACAATAAAATTACATCGCATTAAAATGCCACAATCTGCTATAAAGCTCGCACAATATTTTTTACATACTTACCCTTCTGCAGAACACACAATGCTTTATTACTTCTGAAATCTTATAAATACTCTTGCAGATTTATCCAATTAATTTTCTTTTCTCCTTCACTCATCTATCAAGAGCACTGATCACAACCCTGAAGAATAAAACATACTTGATTCAAAATTCCAATTATATGAATAAACTTGTAAAACAATTAGTTTCCCAAAACCCAAAAAAAATTTACATTTTAGCCACATAGATTCTCATATTTACAGCATTTCAATTAGAAATTCAACTCAAAACCCCAATAATTTTGGGATTCTAACCTAAGGAACATGAAGAAATAAAAATTTATTTTATTTGTTAATATAAAGAAATACAATTTAAGTGTTTGAATTCTTTATAATTCATAAATAAATGAATTTAATAAAAATTTGATCAGAATCTTTTAATTAAGATTTGATTAGATTTTTAAATTTTGATGAGTTTAATTTTTAAATAAGTTCTTAGATTGTAAAATTTATTCGAATATTTTCACACAATTTTTTTCAATAAATATTGATAAATCTTTTTTATTATTTTTTGAAAAAAAAATAATGTTATATAAATTATATGAATTAAAAAACCAATTATATCTATATTAAAATTAGTGATGCATATGCATAAATTTTATATTTTATTAAATTCATATAATTTTTTTGACAGTATATTAATATAATTTTATTCATTCTTTTTCTCAATAAAAGTGAAAAAGATAAAAATGTTATCAAATCATCTTTTAATAAAAAAAAAATTAATTTTCTTCCCAAGCAAAATAAGAAAGAAAACATTTTTCCTCCCTAAAATTTTCTTCAATAAAAAAAGCTAGCGAAAGCTAATATCAATTCAAGCTCGCGCAATTCCTTCAAAACAGAACCCTAATCTTCTTCTAAGAACCCAATCTATCAAATCGTGATCGAATATGAAAACAATTATTGATAAAAAATCAGTCAAAGACGAACCAATCAAAGACGGTAGGGTTTCGCGGCTCCGCCACTGTCCTCCGAAGCGGCCTCCTCGAATCTCCCTCCGGCGTCCTCGCTGAAATGAATAATACAATCGTAAAATTATTATAAATATAAAAAAATTAAACAAATACTTGTCGATCTTACGAGTGAGAGGCGAATCGGGACCGCTTGCTAGAAAAGGCTGCTCGCAACCGGCGGTGGGTCGGAGGATAGTGATGCTTCGGGTGACCGAGATGCCGACGGGATCGGCGGTGGAGTAGTAGGAAAAGCGTCTGAGAGTACCGGAGTCCGGGCGCGGGCCGGCGACGGTGTCGTCCCAGGGATGGTTTTGGAGGCTCATCTGAGTTGCGCTTAAGTTGTTGGATGGATGACCTAAGCGGGCCTTTGATTTTTGTTGTAGGTGAGGTAGGAAGTTGTCGGGTGTTTTATAACTCGTTAGTTATCCAGTCGAATGTAAAGAATTTCAAAATATCTCAAACTAAGGGACTTTTATTTCGTCCGGTGTAAGGATGTAGAGGAATATTCGATTGTAGGTAAAATCGCGTCTATATCGAGGTGTACCGAGTTTTTTGACATTCGATTGTAGGCAAAATCGAGCCTATACCGAGGTGTACCAAAACTCGGTACACCTCGGTAGTGAAAAAACTCGATACACCTCGGTATAGGCGCGATTTTGCCTACAATCGGATGTTCCTCTGCATCCGGTCGGAGGACGTAATAATTGCGCCAAACTAAGGCTTTGTTTAGGTCGTCTTCCTTATTGCTTCTTAAAGCAACTTTCTTGTACAAAATTAAAAAATTTTGTACTAGAAAACTGCTTTAAGAATTAGAAAGAAAGCCGTCCCAAACAAAGCCTAAGTCTTAGGACATCATATGCAGTTCTATATCCGGAGACGAATTACAGTGAGTTATGTCATCTGATACACAGTGGGTATATAGTCATAGTAAACAGCAAGGAGGTGACGTGGCATGCTCTGATTTATCTCAAGACGACGTCTGGTGTCAGCACATAATAATTAATCCCGTTTCGTTCGTTCGTTTTTGAAGTCCGCAAACTACTACAATCGAAAGGAAAAACATGCTCTATTCTTGTGTTCGTGAACAGTGCGGTGCTAATATTCACGTCGCGCTGTTTCCGAAAACATAGAAAGTGGAGCGGAAGCACGTGGAGTTCAATTGAGAAAAAACATATACATAATATTGTTTTTTTGAGTTAATAAATAGAGTTCGGTTAGAACTGAATTATTGCATTTTGGAGTGGAAAATGAGTTTTTCGGTTGGTGATGATCTCATACTCGAAAAAAATTTAATTTTTATAATGAGGTGATAAATATTGTACTATTCTGATAATGACTTATCAACGGAGATAAATATCAAATTCAACATCGCCAATTGAATAATTCATCAAAAGCATCTAATTGGGATGAAATGGCCCAATCGGGCTTCCACATCTCTTCAATATTCAATTTCCTTGTTGACCAAATTAATATAGCCATCACTTTCATGAATGAAAGCAAAGGCCTATCTTATGAATATAGCATAATTAATAAAGCTATTATTGGTATAAGTTTTTATGAATATAAATTTATTGATATATCATAATGTTTCATATTATAGATAGCCATAGGCAATCTTAATCTATTGGTAATAATATAGATGTTATCCTAATTAATTGTTGTTAACTATAAAGAAAATTTTCATGAATTATTTTTTTAAATAATCATTTAATCTATTTTATTTATTTTAAAAATCCTAATTTATTTTTTTATAAGAGTAAACATAAAAATTGTTAGATTTATTAAACAATTGTGCTATATGATACGGGTGTAAGTAAGTCAAGTCGGCTCGAGTTCAACTCATTAACGAGCTCACGAGTTGATCTTTTAGAGTCACGAGCTTGAGCTTAGCCTAGCTCGGCTCATAAGCTCGTTGAGCTGTTCAATTAATTTAATTTTTTTTTTAGAAATTAATTTAAATTAGTATTATGTAATATATTGTTTGGGATGGCTTACAGTTTTTACGAATAATTGAATGTAATTATGAAGATGTAATGTGGAAATTAATTTTTTTTTTAAAAAAAAATAGTGATCAAATAGAAGTGTAGAAGTGTGTTTGTGTTCTAAAAATTAAAGACCTTAACTATTTTTATTATTTTCAAATAAGTCCCTATTGTAAGAATCTTATGGCCTAATTTGACATAATTTTTTATTTTTTTAATGAAAAGCACCCCCATTGGTGAGAATTTAAATATTCTAAATAATATTGTTATATGCTAAAAAAAATTTTGAGTTGACAGAGTGTGTTTTACGTCACATATCCTATAGTAAAAGTAGTAAGATGAAAAAAAAATTTATGTAAAAAATCAGGAAGGGATAAAATCAGAGGGTCTGACCCAACAGACATATTCACTGTATCGTAGGTGATACAAGATTCCTCATTTCTTCATCGTTAAAGAAGAGGGATTGAAGGAGGTCATAAATCAAGTGTCCACTAAGTGGCAATTAACACCCAACAATAGGTTTTGATTTTCCGAATAGTGAATATAGAAATCAGATCTCCACAGACAAACAAATATACCAATAGAATGATGAAATATTGTCAGTATTCTAGAGATGGAGATGATTTTTATGTTGATTGTCGGTGGCGATATATGGTTGTGATATGCTTCATAATTAGAGATATTAGCGTGGGTGATTTAGCTAGAATTAGGTTGTTCATATGGTTTGTAGCTACCAACCGAGGTTTAGGGTGGTTGGTGGGCGAGCAAAGTTTGGAACCTCCCATCCCAGGTTCGAATCCCTTCTACTATGGCATTGCCTCTTTGGTGGGGTAAAGTAAATGTGGGCCCGATGTCGGTGGGTAGCCTCTATAGGTTTCACAAAGGGATTAGTTACGCCACCAAGCACTCCCTTTGGAGTGGCTGCAGGTAGATGACCCTGATCCCCCCAAAAATTAAAAAGGTAGTTTGTAGCTCTGATGCTTGATTCTTAGTTGTTTTCTACTAAAGCTTCGTTTGGGGCATTTTTTTTGTTATTGTCTAAAATAGCTTTCTATAATAAAAAATTGAACTAAAAAATTGCTTTAGAAAATTGTAAGAAATATGTCCCAAAAGAAAGTCTAAGTTTGAGCAACTTTCAAAGCTTTGATCCCTGACTGGCATGACTTATGCATGTGTTTTTTAGCGAGTTTTTAATTCATGGTTTTTTATGAAGTTAAAAAGCTATAATTTTTGGCGAAGTCATACAATAATTTCACATGGATAGTTAAAAAATATATATTTGTATAGAAATACTAAATGATTAGACCTAATTTATGTGTTCAAACTTAACAATTAAAAAATATATAGAACTTTGATCCCTTTTAGTAGAAGATATATTGCATCAAAGATATGGAAATTATATAAGTTTGATAGAGAATAGTAGAGGCTTACTTAGGTGGAAGAGTTCAATAAATTTCACATATCCTAATAACTAACTAATTTATAAAATATTAATACTAAGGAATGATGAGATATTTAAAACATGTGAAAAAAATCTAAATAAAAATGTATGTAAAAAAAAAATGCATGGTAAATTTAATATATAAAATACAATATCTACTTATGTAATTACTCATCAAATTGTTCATTCCACATTAATACTATACATGATATGTAAAAAATATATATTTAATATGATTTTAATACACAACATAAAATAAAATGTCATAAAATTAAGTGATATTAAGAACATACCACTCTTACATAGTCTTCAATTCTTTCTAATGAAAAAAATTATATCATGATATTATGATATATATTATATGAAGATAAACTTAAAAGTTATTAAATTTGTAAACACGAATTTAAAAATAAATTCAATAATTGTTAAGCTCATCTTGATACAAATTACATCATAATATTCTAATTGTTACATGTTAGAAAAATTGCTATGATAAAGATCAAATTTGAATGTCTTAGCTTTCACAAAGATCTAACATACAGTGATAATAAAAAGATGGCAATAAACACCAAAATTTTAAGGAGGAAAAAAAAAAGGAAAATATAACGAAGCATGACTAGATGAAATGATCAAGGGTGTAGATAATTCAAAAGTATGCTCACGCCCTCAATTGAAGAAAATGGGATTACAAGTTTGTATTTCTGAAAATATGAGGTGCAATAGTTTGATGATGTTACTCAAGTAGTGATAGTTAGACAATATCTGTTAGATAATTGTGATTGGATGATATTAGTTGAGCGATGAAAGGTAGATAATGGAAATTAAGTACAATGAATGGTTGATGATCGCATGCCGAGAGATGTACAACAAGATAATGAAAGTCAACCAATAGTGATTGATAGTCAGATGATGAAAGTGGAGTGAATGCGGTCAAGCAATGGAAGTCAAGCAATAATGATCAATAGTCGGATGGATAATCATGCAGTTTCTGCCAAATAATGAAAGTCAAATGAGAGTGATCACCGGTCTAAAGATGAGAGTTGAGTAATTGCGAACATATAATAAAAGTGAAGCGAAAGTGATTGATAGTGTGATAATGGTAGTCGAGCAACAACGGTTATATAATGGAAGTCATGCAACCATAATCAACAATCAAATGAAAGTAGTTGACTGTTGGTGGTTTGACAAAGGTATTTAGTTGATCAGGTGGTAGCTGTCATTGGCATCGAATGCCAAGTAAAGCTTTAGGGTTCTTCGATTTACAAGTTGTCTCCTAATTCAAGTCCAGGTCTTCTTCGTGTGAAGAATGAGGGCTTTTATTTAAGTTGGCATTACGATAAATTTAGTCATAATTCATTGCACTTCATTCATATCAAATCCTTGATCTTAAGTCATTTATTGAACATTTTGGTAATTTATTGGCCTCAAAATTGAGTTTGTTGGATTTATCTCATTAAGCTAATAGTTCTAATTATAATAACACAAGATTTGGAGACTGTTTGGAACTCCAATTACTAGCCCTCAAAAGTTTTTTGACTATCTTTTAATTATTTGATTTGAGCTCATTTGAACTCGGATCTGATCAACTTTGGTGTCATGGGGTTCTTGTCAAAATGTTTTATTTGAAAATAAACATCGTATTAAGATTTGCGTTCATCAAACTGAATTATCTTCAGACAAATAGCTGACATAATTAATTTTTTTGACAATTTCACACCATCTTAATATTTTTCCTTAATTAGTATTAGATGGGGTGGGCTCACACTTAAACCACATAATGAATATTTTTGTAGTATATCATAGGACATAGGTGTGGCATCATATAAAAAGAGCCTTTCAACTTGTTTTTATTAGTAGAAAATGAAAGTCATATCTTAATGTCTTACCTTAATTTATTACTTCATTTGAGGTAGGGCTGCAAGTGAGCCAAACATTCGACGAGCTACTCATTGTTCGGTTCGATTGAAGCTCGTTTGTGATCGTTTAATTAACTAAACAAACAAACTTGAACAATATTTTAGATACTCGATTATTAAATAAACAAACTTGAACACTAATGTATTTGCCTCATTTATGTTCACGAACAACATCATTTGAAGTTCGTGAACAAGCTCGAAATTAAGCTCGATAAGAAGCTCAATTCGTGTTAGATTTTGAACTCTTGACTAAGCTCGATAAAAATAATTAATATTTTATTATAGAATTATTAAATATAAATAATATAAATATTTTATATTTATTATAATATAATGATATAATTATTGTTAAATAATAAAATTTTAAGTAAATAATATTATATTATATGTTAATTAAGTGTTTTTATTAAATTTAAATGAATGATAGCAATGTTAAAAAAAATTGTAACTTTATATGACTATTTATTTATAAATCCTTATCTTTATTAATGATGCTGCTAGGAAAATTCTGTGAAGATGGATTTGCTTATAAATCATTGTCTTTGTTACATAGACAATTATTTTTATTATAAATGTATTTGTTCATATATATGTTCATGAACGTGTTTGTTTGATAGTTAAAATAAATTTGTTAGATATGTTCACGAACATACTTGATGTAATCGTTTGTTAGGAAGCTCGATAAAGCTCGTTTGTTAAGTTCATGAACATATAAAAGTAGAGCTCATTTATAGCTCGTTCATGTTTGTTTGAACATGAACTGAACATGAACCGAACATGAACACTCATTAATTTAAATGAACCAAACATGAACACAAACATGAATACTCACATACTCGGCTCGGCTCGGTTCGTTTGCAGCCCTAATTTGAGGCAGCTTTTTTATAATTTTTTATGCAACTTTTTAATATAAAATATTTTAGTTTAAAATTTTTTGTACTGAAAATTGTTTTAAAAATCAATAATAAAAAAAACATAATTTAGTTTGGGACTGTTTTTCTACCGCTTCTTAAAGTAATTTTTTAGTAAACAAAATTACTTAAAAAAGCAATAAAAAATCCATCCAAAATAAATCGTTAATCATTAAATAATCACACATTCCATTGAGGATTAGTTGTTCTTCTTAATCTTTTGGCGAAAGAATTTCCATACAAGCGCATTTGCTATTCGTCTTAGCTGCAGGCCGCACATGGGCGGTGATTATAACAAATAATCGTGGAATCTTGAATTAATTAATTTAGTCCATTCGCATGAAAAGAAAAATTTACCCCTATTCAACTTTTTCGTAATAATTTATATTTCTTTTTATAATAAACGAGTTGACTCATCAGCTGGCTCGAATTTATAGCAACACAACTCAGCTTGATTTGTTGGTTGGTAGCTTTGACCATCAACCAAGCACTAGTAAAAATGAAGGTTTAAATATCGCTGCTATAGATTGGCTCTCACAGCACTATTAACCGCTTGCTAATTAACATAAAGCTAAACGATCGAATGCCTTCCAGTCCTATCCCTTTCGATCGATGACTTGCATGCCTTCTTCCAGTTCATTCTCTGCGTACGTCGCGAGCCCTCTCCTCCACATGCCAATGTACGCTGAAGCCGCCTCTATCGTTTGGTTGTTCAATCAACCTCAACGCCGCCGTTGCATGGTCGCTCAACATGTAAATCCACTCCTCGATCTTTTTAGATTTTAAAAATAAAGTTATCACAAATTAATAAGCCTTAATAATAGAAGAAAAAAAAAACACATGTTCGAAATTTTATACATTGAATTACAATAAAAAAATATATATTTTTGGGATATTAAGATAAATTAAGAAAAAACTCCTACACGCATTACATACGTAAGACTTGAACCTAAGACCTCTTACTTGATAGCTAAAGCTCTCAAGACTCGAACATAAGATCTCTTACTTATAGCCAAAGCTATGATATAACAGATCAAAATGAGTTGCGTCCAATAAAAATATTGCAAACTCGGTGTTACGCACTTAGGCTTCAAACTAAGAGGTCTTGAGTTTGAGTATGAGTTGTGTGAGTTTGACTTAAATGTCCTAACTCCTGAGAGATTATTAGGTGCGGAGTGCAGACGGGGAGAACCGTCTGCACACTAGTATAAAATCCAGCTGGGTACCGTTCGGTACAGCTGGGTACCACTAGGTACCGGTTGGTACCCTGTGTCTGTGCAGATGGTGCTCTCCCCGTCTGCACTCCGCACCTAATAATTTTTCCCTAACTCCTAAATGTCTCCTTCCCCCCCCTCAAAAAAAAAAAAAGTAAATAAAAAAGTTTTTACGCCGAAAAGCCCAAAACGCACGACACGTGACGTTTCGGCGGAGTTCTTAGGTAAAAACACGCTACACGTGCTGGCATAAGCCGATTCCACGGATCAAGCAGCAGTCGAATTCTATATTAATTGACATCTCATATCATGTGGTTCCTGTTCGCTTTTTTAAAATTTATTCTTTTATATAGGGATGGTATTTGCGGTCACACAAAATTGCTATTAACAGTATAAAATTTAACAATATTTTTTTAATAATTAAATTAACTTACACAAAATAAATAAATAAATAATCATATCATCAGCACCCGAACTGTAACGTAGCACTTTAAAGTTAGTTAGAGACAATGCATTTAAGGGAGACAATAATAAAGACTCATAGCTCAATTTGATTTTGACGATCTATTTGGGATAATTTTTGAAATATTTTTTAAATTTATATTATAATTCTGTTTTATTATAATTTTCTCATTGGTTTCAAAAATATTTATTCTAAAAAATTACTTTTTATAGCTACTTTAGGCTTCGTTTGGGGCGACTTTCTTATTACTTCTTAAAATAATTTTTAAGTAAAAAAATTAAAACTTTTGTATTAGAAATTTGATTTTAAAAGCTGTAAAAAAATCGTCCCAAATAAAGCCTAATTTGTTTGGGAGAGCTTTCTTATTACTTTTCAAATAATTTTTTAGTTTTAATTTCTAATCAAAATTTTTTATACTAAAAAAACTGTTTTAGAAAAGTAAAAAAATTGTCCCATACAAGAACATTTTTTTTCCTACTACATCTTTACAAATAGTTTTATAAAAGCTATAGCCATTCCAAATAAACCTTAAAACAATATAATTTTGGGGAAAATTCTGAGCTCATATGCAATTTATATTAAAATTGATTTAATTTTTTTTTTAATTTCCTTTAAAATTCAAATACTTTTTTTCGTATAATTTGAAATGGAGAATCAAAATTAAATTACCAAACCAATAAAATAGAATTGAGTCGAGCAGCCATTCTTAAGAGATCCTCAGTCCAATTCAACTGTGAGTACAAAGGTTATTTTCTTTTTTATTTATACTGGGTGCAGTTTAGCTTTAATACTTGGGCAAAATAAATGACCCTGCCAAAATTAAAGTATCAACCCAAAACCAATTGGGACAATTCAACAAACACCTTCGGTGCATTAGGATACCCTACACATTATATTTTAAAAAAATCATTGAAAGCCAATTCTGCTTGTGAGAACATACAAAGAGAAGTTGAACGATCTTATTAAATAAACTACAACTTACATCAACATTACAGCAATCCAAAGAACCAGAGGAAAACACGAAGACCGAATGATGAAATTAGTAATCAGAATTAGTTAATTTAACCACAAATCATCTAATTATTCTTCTTGGCATCTTTCCCCTTTCCTCTTACCGAAAATTGTAGAAATTAAGTAAACAATCAGCTCAAATGCCTCTTATTAAACATGAGGGGATAATGCTCACCGCCGTCCATTAACCGGATGCATCAGCAGGCATAGAAATCGACGAGGTCATCAAGCAACTCCGGCTGCTGATCGGCGTTCTCCAGCATCCAAAGAAGATGCTCGAATAGCACAACCTCGCACCCAACGACGGCGTCGCCGTCATTGCCGCCGAAGCCGCCGGAGCGGTTGATTAGGGTTTGGAAGATCGGCCGGTCGACAACGTTGGAGCTTAGAAGATACTGCCGGCGAGATTTGCCGACGAATACAGGGAGCAAATCGTTAGGGATTTCTTCGCCGTGGAACGAGGACGGCTGCCACCTCTCGTCGTCCGTCGACCTCCCCGAACCGTCACTGCTGCCGCTGCCGGCGCCAGCGGTGCGTGTGATCCGGCTTGAGGAGTTCCACCTCTTGATCATGGATCGGAGCTTGCTCAGCTTCCCGTTCTTCGCCATTTTCGCTTACTGGCGGTGACGCGACTTCGGTAGTGATCGTTTGGGGAGATTGGCGTCGACGGTCTGCGCTAATATATAGAAGCGGGGAAAACAATGGACACAAAGATTAAGCGGATAGAGACGTGGTCGTTTTCTCCCCGTATTATCGACTCGTATTTTAAGTTTTTTTTTTGGGGAAATATTTTAAGTTTTTAACAAATTAAATTTTGAAAAAAGAAAAAAAAGGTTAATATTTAAATATAAATTATGTACAAAAAAATTTTATATTTTAAACTATTTACGACTTTATGATATATCATTAATATAAATTTATATTATTATCAAAATGTTAAAATCTATTTGCTTAATAAATAATATCCCGACCCGCCTCGGGTCCGAGTCAATTCGACACAACCCGCCTTTCGCCACATACGATGTTGATGATGCAGAGCTCAAACGACGGACGGGGAACGGCGAGGCAGCGACGGTATATGGGACAATGAAGCATCAACGGCGAACGGACCGGACGGCGTACACGATTGACGCGGTTGGCATCTCTTTGGACGCAACAGACGAACACAATTTTGACATTGATTTCGGGGAATAGACCCGATTTTTTGAGTCAAACCGAGTTGATTTCAAGTTTCCGGGTCAACACGAACCTGATCCGATTTTTTAAACTAGTCGAAAACTAGAACCCGAACACGACCTGTATAATAAACGGGTTGACTTGAATCCAAAAAATTCAAAGTTCGGATTTCGGGTCGTGTCAAATTTTGACACCCCTATTCTAAAAACTTTATTAAAAAAGTAATACTTTCGAACTCATAGCCTAATTTTAATTTGTTATTTCCAAAATATTATGTGTCTTAACATAAATTATCTTTTACAATCAATGGGGAGCCATAAAATTTTTTATAGAGGGGGCTAAATTTTTTTATTATTATTATGTAAAAGCATAGCCTATAAAAATTGCTAATCATACATGTAAAACCAATTAAGCATATGCAAACAAAGCATGAAATGGATATATAAATCCTATCTGCTGCTCCGTCAAGAAAGTTAAATCTCACTAGAAAGAGTTTAGGCAAGTAGATCTACAAAAGCAAAGAAGAAGTAGATATGTTAGTTTCCTACATCCTAAGGGCATCTACAGCCGAAAATCTCATTTTTCACTCCAAAATGTAGTGAAACCAAAAAATAACGTGATTCATCTCCAATCGGACGTCATTTTGTCCCGTAACCGTCGTTCTCTTTTTCGCGTCTTTCTTCCACAAGTTCGGTAGAGACCAATTTTTGGCGCAGATGAACAGTGTGATGCCAACCGCGATCAAATGACATTAAAAATGACGGTCAATTTGAGCAAAACAAGGATGGCAAACAATGGAGTTGCCCTAATACACCAATGCACCAATTTCCGGCAAACGTATCTGTCATCAACACTTGCAGGCCTTAACTCCAAGGAAATATCACCACATTTACAAGCTGAGTTCACAAATAAAATAAGAGGAGATAAAGGAAATTAAAACAGCTTCGTAAACTAGTAAATAAATATCGGAATGAAAGCCTGTCGACTGTACGAGTTGGAGAATGGCGGCGTAAAGCGGCGGATGGCGGCGTAGATCGGCGGCCTTGGCAGGTGGGCAGGCTGGAGGGCTGCTTCCGTGGTCGGGTCGGTGAGGTCAGGTTGGAGAGGTCGGGTCAAACGGCAATGTCGGCATAGTTGGAGGGGGCGATGGGATCAACGTTAGTGAGGTGGTCAGACGGGTTGGAAAAACTTCGCAATTAAGTATGCTCATCAAGAGTATTCATAGGATGGATGACCTCTTATAATGTTATACCAATAGGAGAAAACCGTGGGCCTCTTAGGCCAAAACGGATAATATCTCAAAATTTAAGAATTTGGGCTATTACGAATGACATCGGAAAAATAATTCAACCAAAAGATAGGAACTAAGTGATATACAAAATAAAGTGTTAAGGCATAGGAGTCATATCTTGAACCCAATAGGGAATAAAGTGCTGCAAGACGTGAGTCACCACCTGAACTTATAGGGCCACCTCTAGAATCACATCTGATTGGTAGATAGTTCTTGGATAAAGATGTTGATGAGGACGTTAGTTACTTAAGTGAGAGAAATTGTGAAACCACTTAAGTAAATGAAGCTAAAGTCTTAAATATCGAGACGAATTTTTGTGTAATGATTTGAACTTCATTTAAGAATCTCTGTAGTTAAGCATGCTCATCCCAGAGAAATTCTGGGATGGGTGACCTCCTAAGAAGTTTCACAAACAAGACAAAACAGTTGGGCCCTTAGGCCAAAAAGGACAATATCTCGATAGTTTAGAGTTTGTGCTATTACAACAAAAGTGTCGAGAGAGGTAGAGAGGCATTCGGCTAGGGCATTTTGCATGAGGGAATGTTGAGTGAGGAGGGATCGAGCGGCAAGGCATTGTAATGTGAGTATTAAGTAATTTGAGCGAAGAAGGGAATCACAAGGAGCAGATCAGTAGCGAGCGCGGAGAGGAGCAGACAAATTGCTAGTGGAAGGAATCGCGCAATAGGAAATAAAAATTAGGGCTTTAACACGTGGAGCAGTCGCCAGAAATGTTTTTTTAGCATATATATAAGCACAATAACAATATCATAAAGCTTTTATCCCACTACATGGGGCCATCTATATGAATCTGTTTTCTCTATTGTGGTGGGTTGTATTAGCTACTCGATGATCAGTATAAAAATTGGCGAATAATCATGACATGCATAAATATAAGTAAATGTAAAAAAAAAAGTATTAAATTTGAATTTATAAAAAATTTATGATATGCATCTAAATTCTATATAATTAACTTATGGTTTATATCATTTAGCTCCTAGAAAGAGCATTTTTAAAGAATTTTGTAATAATTACAACTTGGGACGACTTTTTTATTTCTTTTTAAAATAGAGTTTTAGTACAAAAATTAATTTTTTACTAAAACTATATTTTAGAAGCAATAAAAAAGTCTTCCCAAATGAAACCTTAAACTTCTTGTGGACATAAAATCATGGATCAATTATATATATGCTTAATATTAATAAGTGTGTAAATGATTAGTGATGTCAACTAACAATTTTTTAAGATAAATTAATATCAAAATAGATATAACTCATAATAATACATATTTGAATCATAATCACTTTCTCTTTTTTACGATAGACGAACTAACTCGTAAGCCATCTCTAACTCGTAGGACTACACACAAGCTCGAGCTCGAGCTCAAACTCATAGAATTACGCACGAACTCAATTAATTAATCGAGCTCAAACTTAAGTTAAAGATGAATCAAACTCGGGTCAACTCGTTTACACCCTTATTATTAATCAATTGAGTTGTAATTTTAATTTGAAAAGGCGGGGGAAGCAATATTTAGGTGTATTAATTATATAGAAAAATTCTCCCTTAAATTATCTTATAATTATGATTATAAATATCATAAAAGCTTCCCATATGACGACAAAGTGAACCATATATGCTGTATGTTATTTTGCTTTTATTATTTAAGAAAGCCTTTAGAATTAATTTCTAAAACCTTAATTAAGCTTACATTAATAGTTCTTTGTTAAGGAGTTAGCCCCACTATTCATTAATATAATAGTTAGCTTAGCGCTAATCGTGCAACTTAATTTTGTCCTATGTAATTGACCTAATTATCAAAATCCAATTAGACATTCTCTTGAATAGAATAATTAGTTCTTTATAAGACTATTTGTCTAAGGCCAGAAAAATCTCCAATTTCATTGACATATTTAGTTATTTATCGTCTACGATTCGAATGTGTTAAGGGATTTCTTCTAACCTCCTAAGGATTTGATCTTTATATTAAAATGTGGTTGTTGAATTTTTGAGTTTTCTAAATCTAAGATACATGCAAGTCTCTTGTCTTCTAGCATTATTTTATTTTTTTGGAATTTGATTCCTTCTAGAAACTCAATGATGGGAGAATTTGTATAACAATTGTACTAAGAATTCAAAGCATGTGTTAGGTAACATAGCAAATGCTTATGATATATTGAAGTTACTTAAGAATGGAAAATGTATAAAGTGATTCTTATAATATATTATCAGAAGATTTACATACATACTAGTTAATGTTTTCTCATTTATATATCTTACATATATCACTATTTACCTATATTCAAATAAAATAAAAATATGACAATTGAGTATAAAATGTATGGATTTTAGCTTTTTTAGGTGTTTGATTTGACACCGAGTAAAATAAAATAAAATTCAAATGAATTGCAAACTCTCCTCGTTAGGTCATTCTGTACGTAAAGTAAAATAGTTTGAATCGAGCGAAATAGGAATTCACAAGCACGGGCAAGAGCGTTTCTTCATCCATTGTTGCAGGAAACATCATTGTTTCTTCTCAATTTGCAGAACCCATCGTTGTTTCTTCGTGCGAGGTAGAGTTTTGCTCGAGTTGCTTCATTGGATCCTTGTTGTTCGACTTCGCCCCTTCGACTATGTTTTCTTCCTGTCGGATCAGAAGTCATGGAAGCAACAACAGGATCCTTTTCGCAAACTTCTTTGGCCAAGTATCATCAATCCACATAATTCCAAACTCTCCAAAGCATAGGCCGATGATTTACTCTAGCGACTGTATGTGTTTATGCTCCCCTTTTTTTCCTCTTCGTCAATCAACTTTATCACCACATCATCGGGCACAAACACATTAGTAGAAATGATGGCTATGAATGCCCACGCCATAGATCGGAGCTTCATCTCTTATTTACTTCCCTGGTTATAGTTTTTGCATTTAATTGTTCTCTGATGCTAGTTCGTGTATTTTCTGGAAATCATGTATTTGTAACTTAACTTTTGGAAGTACATTTATCCAGTATCCATTTTTGATGTATTTTTCTCTCAGTGGTGTCGAATATGTTCTTGAAACTGCTAACGAGGATGCTTATTCCTTTGCTAAGTCGGAACACCAAAGATTTATCTGTTACAACCACCTTTGTAAGTTATTTTTTTGGAAAGATATAGTTGCAGCGTGTCCACTACAGGAAAATCAGCATTTACCGACGGTAATTTTGGCGGTCAAATAACTGCCGGAATTACCAACGATTAAACTGGCTGTTGGACCGCTACTATTAGCTGGCGGATTACCCGGCGGTTTGTAATAATAAACCGCCGGATATGCCGGCGGTAAAATAACATCTGGGTAGGCCGATGGTTCTACTATTTTCACGTCGCATTTACTGGCGGTCTAGCCGTCGGTGTTAAGTAAATTTTTTCCATAGGTCTAAACCGCCGGAAATTGAACTAATATTGGCCAAACCGAGCCTTACTCCTCATTTGTTCGCGTATCCTTCTTTTCCTCCTGACGCTTGCGCTCGCAATCGCCTCTGGCTGCCTCCGCAGGATTCCGGTCGCCGACGCCCTAACTCCAACAAACGATCTCGTCCTCGCTCTCGCCGCCGATCACGCCCGAATTCTGCCGCCGAAACCCGCCGACGATCTCGTCCCCGAACTGAAGGTTTGAATTTTGTTTTTTTGCTTAATTTTTTAATGTTAATGTGTCATGCTTTAAAATTATGGAGAGAGAGTTTTGGAGCATAGATTGTGGTGTGATGCTAATGTTTCTCAAAATTAATTTTGATTCATGCAAGCTAAGTCAATTGGGGAAGCTATACATTTTTTTATTATGTTTAATGGAGAGGTATATAGAAAATATGGAGGATCTATACATGATATTTATTAATTTAATGAAAGTATATGATAAAGTTTCAAGAGAAACGCTATGAAGAGTTATAGAAAAGAAAGGTGTTAATAATGCTTTTATTCAAGTCATTAAGGATATGTATGCAATAGTTATTACTTGTATTTAGAAAGAAGATGGTTTGATCAAATATTTCTCTACTTTAGTTGGATTACGTCAATGATCGGCCTCAAGTCCATATCTTTTTGGTTTAGTCCACACCTTAAACCGACAGTCAACTGGCGCTCCGGCCGCCAGTACAACTGCCGTTCGAGATGGCCAGTATGCCGCTGGTAATTAACCGGCAGTCACCGGCGCTATGATCACCGGAAATTACCGGTTGTGTAAGCTGCCGGAACGCCGCTGATAAAATTAATCGACAGAAATTCACCGTCGCAATTAGTTTCCTACACGGTTATACCGGCAGTTAATAGACCGCCGGAAAAGTAATCGAAACCGCCGGGAAAAGTCATCAATAATTGACAATTTTCCTGTAGTGGTTATAATTATGTTTTTTCTTGTTTCCGAATATTGCATCTTAATCACTTGCACTAACTATAGGGCTCTTTTTTTTATGGATGTAGAGCCCTCTTTTATTGGCCATATAAGATATTTGCTTTTATTTATACTTCCGTTGTTGAGTTACTTGAGTATGACTTGTGAGAGCTGACCATGGTTCAATATTCATTGGATTTTGTTCTTATCTTGCTTGTTCTTTGAATTTATTCATGCAATAAATTGGAATAGTTGCGAACAGTTGACAAATGATTGAATTTTTTTTTCTTATATTTCCATCTTGAGATGGAATAATTTGATGTTGAGAGCATTCCCTTCTTCCTGATTTCTCTCTTCCCCTCATATGGTCAAATTTCATTTCAAGAATGTGGAATAAAAATCAAGTTTATAATATATTGGATAATATTGCTTTATTACGTGGGTAGACATTTCTGATCAAATTTTATGATGTTATCGAATTATAAGATAATTATTGTTGCGTGTCAGAAAATACGCGGCGATAGAGTTTGTATGATCGCCGGAAATTACACGCTGTGTAAGCTGCCGGAAAGCCGCTGGTAAAATTAATCGCCGGAAATTCACCGCCGCAATTAGTTTCCTACGCGGTTATACCGGCAGTTAATAGACCGCCGGAAAAGTAATCGAAACCGCCGATAAAAGTCATTAGTAATTGACAATTTTCCTGCAGTGATTATAGTTATGTTTTTTCTTGTTTCCGAATATTGCATCTTAATCACTTGCACTAACTATAGGGCTCTTTTTTTTTTTATGGATGTAGAGCCCTCTTTTATTGGCCATATAAGATATTTGCTTTTATGTATACTTTCGTTGTTGACTATGACTTGTGAGCGCTGACCATGGTTCAATATTATTTGGATTTTGTTCTTATCTTGCTTGTTCTTTGAATTTATTCATGCAATAAATTGGAATAGTTGCAAACAGTTGACAAATGATTGAATTTTTTTTTCATATATTTCCATCTTGAGATGGAATAATTTGATGTTGAGAGCATTCCCTTCTTCCTGATTTCTCTCTTCCCCTCATATGGTCAAATTTCATTTCAAGAATGTGGAATAAAAATCAAGTTTATAATATATATTGGATAGTATTGCTTTATTACGTGGGTAGACATCTCTGATCAAATTTTATGATGTTATCGAATTATAAGATAATTATAAATGGCAATTTGAAGGAATTTTCGAGGTTTAAATGGTTATTTACAGAATTAATGGACTCACAAGGTCCATCTAGCGCATCAAGGGTCAAATCTAAGAAGAGAAAAAAAGTTTATAAGGAGTCTAAAACCCGAATGGATATCTGAGTTATAACAGATAATATGTGAGTATGTCGATGCTAATATGAAGTGTTAACGGCTTCAAAGATACTATTTATCAAGTGCAGCACAAAAATTAAAAGAGAATTTTGATATTAAGGTCACGGGTGAGCAATGCAAGAATCAAATTAGATATCAAAGAAGTGTTTGGAATCACATTCAAGAATTAAGAAAGAAGTCTGGTGAGTCATGGGATGACAATATGAAAACTATCTTGATAGGTCAAGAGGAGTTTCTATCGCATATCCAAGTAATGCTTCGAACCTAGATGAATACAAATGTAAAGATACAATCTTACTAATCTGAATAATTACATGCCTTTTCCAAAAGATGCGATATATATTAATATTCCTCTCCCAAATTATATGGAATTAGAGAAATTTTGTGGTGAAAGTCAGCAATTGAAGATTGTGCTAGGTCAGAAAATTGCCAAGCTTTATTTGGTACTTAACATATTAACTTAGATGATGAGGAGATAGTTGGTTTTGTGGGGAGACTCTTGTGGATACATCAGTAGATGTGGATTATCCTGAACAAAATGTTAAAGAATACCTTATAGGAACAACAAAGCGAGTAATGTCGTCATCTTCTAAGAATCCAAAGGAAAAAGAGTAAAAGGTATGTTGATTGTCAGTCTTCATAATTATATTGCAATGATGGCTAACAATGTAGATCAAGTTGTTAATGTTATTCAAACAATAACGAGAGCTTCTAAGGAAAGAAAATTGTTTAGTGAGCACATGATACAATTATATAGCATTCCAGAGTTTTAGGTGGAAGAGATTGATTCTATATATGATAAGTTATTCAAGAACACAATAATGATCCATTCCTTCATCTCCAAACCTAAGGAATCAAAGGCTCGATGGATACGAAAAGAGTTAAACAAATGATTCATTTGCATCAGAAGAACGAAATTGATATGTCGTGGATTCAACACTTTGTACTAGATTTCATTCTTTAATCTTTATATCAGTTAGATTATTGTTTTATATTGCAGATATTTTTACCATAAGAGAATAGGTGGTTGATGATAGCATATACAAGGAGAATTGAAGAAGACATTTTGAATGCCAACAATATCGTTATAGTTTTCGTAAAGTTTATTGAGTATTGAAACTTTGGTTTAATATTGTTAATATTTTGAGATTTGTTGGTGTAGCTTTTAACTCAACTCAATTGAGCTTCATTGAAATAAAAAGAATCAGTATGCTATAGATTACATGCACTGTTGTTTTTATAATTGACATGTTGATAGTCTACTAAAAAGTTGAGAGTCATGATAGCTTGTAGAGAAAAGTATTTTATTAATGTATGTAAATATTTTTAAATTCTCATAAAATTATAATGAATAATGTGTACTTAAAATATAAATTAGAATATTTCTATTTTACTTTGTAGACCCTCAATCAAACAACTTCTAAGTATTTAGAATGAACTGGTTTTATTTTACTTTGTATACACCAAATCAAAAAAAAAAAAAAAACTCCCATGCATTCATTTTACAAACTATCAAACAGTCTCAAAGTATTTACTTTATACTGCATTCACTTTATAGCCAACCAACAGTCCCTAAATTCCAAAATACAATCATCGCCCACTCTCAGGCCTGCAGGTCCAATCGCTTTCGCCAACCTCGGTTCCATCACCTTTGTCACCGCATATCTTGCAGTTAACTATCAATCCTTCCTCTTTCGTGCTTTTATCTTTTTGTGATCTTGATTGACTTGTGTTTCATAAAAAAAAAAAAAAAAGAAAGGTTGATGGTGCTTTTGAACCCTAATTTATTGTAGTTGATTATTGTGGACAATGGATTGTGTGTTGATTTTTTTTTCATTTTAGTCATCATCTTCTAATTGTTCGGTTAGATATTTTATATTATTTTATAAAAGCCCTTATGTCACGTTATTAATGTCGGCATGAAAAGGCATCGACCGCCGACAACAACAAAATTTGATGAGTTGGTGGTGGAGCTCAAGGAGAGAAAGACTGATGTATGAGCTCCAATAAGATCCCATGAGTTTGTTAATGGTGTTAATTAGGGTGCTATATATGTATGTAAATAATGAATGAAAGATATGTAAATGAGAAGTGGTTATGTATGTAAATCCTCCTAAAAATATGCTATTCAAAATTTTTAATTATGATACCTACAATTTTTATTTTTTATTTTTTATTACAACAATTAGCTGTTTTTATTTTTTTTATCATAGAAATAATTAATAAAAAATAATATATTTTTATGATAATTTTTATTTATGTTTTTTTTAATAAAAATACATTAAAATTATAATATCTATCTTTTTCGAACATTTGAGCTGATGAGATATTTTTGGGTGGTGGCCAAAAGATTACCCCTTAATTTTATGTAGTTAATGTTAATCTGTTGATTAAGGTCATAAAACCAAAAATAGAAAAGTTGCATGGTTTATTTTCTTCTAACTAGTGCTACTGTGCTCGAAGCCCTAACACTACCCGGCGTCGGTCGGCCTGTCAGATTGCTTCGCCGCCCGGGAGCCGCTTGCTTTCGCTGCACTAGACTTTTCACCTGCTAGATATGCGTCCTCCGAAGCCGAGAGCTGGGCTGCAGGGGGGGTCTGATCCTCCTCTGCCTCCGCATAAACGTCCCACAGATCAGATACGCGAGGTACTGGACCTGATGGCCGAGTTCGGGCAAACATTGAAATCTAAACAAAATCTTCCAGGAACCAGCAGCCAGGTAGGCGTTCTTCTTGGACCTCGTGGTGATCCAGGGCTCGGAAGAAGTTTGGATGGTTTTCAATTTCGTCAACCTGCAGAGACCCAGAAAACAACGGATGCTCTTTACTCTCGTCATATTCCAGGGATTGAAGGTACATTACTGCGTACTTTGTTATTTTCTGATATGAATTTTTGAGGAGATTGTGTATGATATCTTGGTTACTTCGTGTTGATGATGCAGAGGTACTGGGCTGTAGAAAATCTTATCTGACATAAAAATTTTAACCTGGTCTTATTCTTTAATCTTGTTCGTATTGGGCTGGTGTAGATCGTTTAGGGTTTGGGCTATGGTTATGTCAGCATGTTTAGGAATTAGATTAGGAAAAATTTTCGTTGAATATGCTAAAAAATCAAACTGGTAAAAGCATATAAGGAGTTTATATGATGTAAAACTACGTGGAGTTACCTGAGAAATTAAAGCGTAATTGATTAAAACTTATTGCTTGCAAAAGAGAAGAATTAAGAATTTAAAGTGTATATTTGCTTAGGCAAAGAAGTGCTTTTGATATGAACCGAACAATCCAATCAAAATTCAAGACAAATAACAAGTACTAAGTGCTCATAATATAATCCACCATTTAATAAAGAGAGATTCTCCTTGAGTACCATCTCACTCATGCACTCTTTGGGCTTTAGCGGAGGAAAGCAAACCAAATAACGAAAGATATTACCATGAAGAAGATGGCGCCAAGGATCTTCGTTGATGGAAAGGCAGTCGGTGGTGGAGGAGGCGGTGCATGGCCGATGATGGTCCAACAACTTGGTGGAAGGTGCTCTTTAATCGACAATGTCAGTTGGCACAAGATACGGCCGATGTAACCTTGTATATTTTCGTCGTTGCCAAAGAAGACGTCAAAGAATGATACGGTTTGAGTTGTTTCCATTAAAGTTGGTCATTTTGTAAACTATACTAAGGGGCTATTTGGCAACAGGATTTAGTGTAAATCCTGTCAAACAGGATTTTGACTTCGCATAAATCTCATGGCGGAATAAATCTGCCATTACCACCTTTTTGCGGTAAATCCCGATTCACAGGGGCGGAACCAGTTATATATTTTTTAGGGTGGACAAACTCATTTCATGAATAATTAAATATTAAAAACTAAAAAATATATAAGATTAAATCTCAAAATTGTCCCATTTGTATGTAGAAATATATTGAGGGTGGGAAAAATCTCAAAAATTGCCCCCCTCATATGTAGAATTAATTTTGAGGGTGGGGCAATTGCCCATCCTCACCTATATGGGGTTTCGCCCGTAATCCCGGATTTACTAAATCCGGGAGTTTGTCAGATTTATGGGATTTGGACGAAGAAGCATGCAAAAGGGATAAAGATGGTTACCTTCACAGTAAGAGAGCTCTCATCGTGACTTTCAATCTAACGTGGTCGAAGGGGGAATAGAAGATTCTTTAGCGACTCTTTCAAAACACTATTTCACACAAAGTCAAAACACCACTTAATGCGAACACCCGAATACGAAGTAGCAACGAAGAAATGGCTGTGAGGAAAAGCAACATCAATGAAGAAATGGATAAGATGAAAAGCAAACCCTAGACAACCTACCATCCAAATTATAAATTAATCTAATTTAGCTTAATTAATACAATTTAAATATTAATAATTAATTATATTAAATAAATAATTATTAGTATAATTAGTAGTATAAATAAATAATCTAATTTAACTTAATTAAATATAATTAGCTTAATTGATATAATTTGAAATAGAAATTACTATGTAATTAATGAGTAGTAGAATACTTAAGTGATCAATCAGATAATTAATAATTAAAATTAATTAAATAACACTAAAATAAATAATTAAATTCTTAGTAGGAGCACTAGTTAAACAGATAGTTATTTAAAAAAATAATTAACTAATTAATTTGATAAGTATCAATATCATTGGATATTAAATACTTATTAGATTAACTTCTAAATAAATAATTTGATAATTAGTACTAGAATTAATAATTAATTTATTAGTTAAATTATTTGATAATTAAGCTAGCTTATAATTATATTATTTACCATTATAATTTATTGAAGATAATTAAAATTGAAATTAATAGCTAACTCGTACTTAACATATAAAATAAATTCAAAACATTTAAAATTTAATTTTTAAATGAACTAATCATCTTAAATCTTGGATTACGTTGTCAAACAGTTTCAAAAAGTTTAACAACTATCTTGCCAAGCAGTTTTCAGGATTTAACATACCCAAGATTTACTAAATCTAGATTTACCATATTTACTAAATCCTACTTGTTTCCAAGCAGCCCCTAAGGGACCCACCATCATGAATTCACACCTCTATGTGCAACTGTCAGGTCAATCTGAACTTTTTATGATGATTCATCCATGGTATTTAGGATTTAAGAGTCTTATGGTTTTGTCTTGTTGGTGCAACTTCCCAGGAGGTCACCCTTATGAAATATAAAACTTAAAATGATTTCAATGTCACTTCAATGATGATAATGTTGATAGCGAATCTCAACAAGTTGGTCTATTTTTAAAAAATAAAATTTCATATTACAAATATTAATACATCAACTGATTTTAATGTCATCCTGATAATGGTCGCTTTGATAAAAAATTTCAACTAAAGTGGATTATGATTTTCAAAATGCTCCGAAATTTTAAAATAAAATACTTGGTGCTTAAATTCCAATAAAATTTAAAATTTTAATATTTAACAAAATTTGAAACATTCAAGTGAAATTTTCTCCTAATAACAACAACAACAACATCATCAATCTTTTGTCCCACTACATGGGGTCAGCTACATGAATCTTTTTTCTCTATTATGTCCTATTAAAATTCAAAATCTCATTTAAATCTAATAAAGAAAGATCATTTCTAATATTTTCTAACCAAGTCTTTTTAGGCCTACCTCTACCTTTCTTAATATAAGTCAAATCTAATAGGTCTACTTTCCTAATCGGGTCATCGAAAGGCCGCAATTTTATGTGACCAAACCATCTAAGGCGATTCTCTCTTATCTTATCTTCCACTGGAGCTACTCCAACCTTTTCACGTATATGCTCATTTTGTATCCTATCTCTAAGGATAAAGCCACTCATCCACTTCAGCATCCTCATCTCTGGAACACTTAACTTACTATTATGCTTTTCTTTTAATTGCCAACATTCGATACCATAAAGCATTGTAGGTCTCACCACCATCTTATAGAATTTTATCTTAAGTTTGAGGGTACTTTTCTATCACACAACAAGCCCGATGCATTCTTCCACTTCAACCATCCAACTTGAATTCTTTTGATAATATCTCCATCTATTTCACCATCACTATGAACAATAGCTCCAAGATATCTAAAATGTGTACTCTGATTAATGACTTGATCGCCCAAAGTCACAATCTCTTCACTAGGTCTATTACTACTAAAATTACACTTCATGTATTCAGTTTTAGATCTACTCAACCGAAAACCTTTAGACTCTAAGGTTGACCTCCATAATATCTCTATATATTCACCAACACTGCCGTTGTCAAGTCCCAAGTTCTGGATGAGAAAAGGGGAGGGTTGCATTAGGTAGTCGACAGTTAGCGTAAAACTTATCGAATAATCATGACATGAATCTTTTAAATATTCTCCTAATCCATTTTCTCTCCTGCGTCCTTATATTTGCCCATCGTATGGCACATATCTTTATCCTTGAAAAATTAACATCTTCTTATCTCAGGAGTCAGGAACTACACGTTAGCGACGGAAAATCTTCTCGCTGTTTTCATATCATTTTGAACTTTTTATCATCTTTATAAAATCACTGAAAAATCTGTTAATGTAATTCAGTTATATACATGGAAATTCTTAATTCTTTGCTATCCTCAAGGTGACCCAGACTGCAATAAACACTACCACCAGGGCTCCAGCTCTGCTCCGATCCAGAGAATGAGGGACTGCCGCATCTGCATGCAACCCAGGCCCTTGTCTAAATTATTTCTCATCAAAGGTTGCTTGCATAGCTACTGTTCCAGATGCTTGCGCTCCTATATCAAAACCAAGGTCAACATGAAGGCGACTCTGATTAAGTGCCCAGATCCTGCTTGCAAAGATATCGAATTGGAACCATTGGCGTGCAAATTGATAATCACAAAAGAGGTTTTTGATCGCTGGTGTGATCTTTTGTCTGAGTCCTCTGTCAGAGTGAAGTTTTACTGCCCGTTCAAGGATTGCTCTGCACTTCTTATAGATGAAAGGGGCCAAGAGGTGATGCAGGAATCTGAGTGCCCACACTGTCATAGACTTTTTTGTGCTCATTGCGGGGTTCCATGGCATTCAGGTCTTAGTTGCAGTGAGTTCCTGGAAACGGAGAACCATGAGGATAAAACGCTGATTAACTTGGCCCAGAAAAGCAAGTGGCAGAGATGCCCCAATTGCAAGTTTTATGTGGAAAGAACCTCCGGGTGCATGTTTATCCAGTGCAGGCAATAAACTCTTTCCTTCTCTGTGTCTTGTAAGGAGCTATTATTTTGTGCGGACACCGTACGGTTCTCCCATCCAGTTCCGCCCTCGGTACCTCTCCGGTTCTCCCGTCTGGTTCCGCGCTTAGTACCGAGAGTGCCGGTACCGATCTTGGTACCAAGCGTGGGTACCGAGCTCCGTACCGAGTGCGGTATATTTTTTGGATGCCGTGGCACATTTTTATTGGTCTTTGGAGGCTCCCGACTCCGCACAGAATAAAAATTCCATGTAACTTGCTATCCTTACAAATCATAAGGCCCTTCTCCATCCGAACTCCAAACGCATGAATGGCACGCTCGTTAACTCTAGCCGAACGGCAAAACTTCCGGTATTTGGTTGCGGGTGAACAGTGCGACGTTAAATTGGCGTTGCACTGTTCACCTGTTTTATTTTTCAGTCTCTACCGGATTTGCCTAAGAAACGCGCGAAGGAGAAAGACGGTTACCTGAGCGCAAAATGGAGTTTGATTGGAGATGAATCACGCCTTTTTTTTTATTGCACTGTATTTTGGAGTGAAAAATGAAATTTTCGGTTGGAGATGCCCTAAAGAAGCATCATTCATTTATATGCGCGACTAGCAACGCATAAAGGCACATTTGTACTTATTAGCACCATTTCATAATGATTTGCTATTTAATTTTTCTCTTCTTCTATTTGAAGGTGCGGTGTCACCTTCTGCTATGGATGCGCATCAGAGATGGAGGATGATCACTTCTGTCAAAAATGCAAACGTTAGAAGATAAGTTAAGCTTCGTTTGGTACAGCTTTTGGATATTAATTTTTACTGCTTTTAAAAAAGTTGTATTAAAAAGTTTCGATAGAAAGCAGTAAAAAAATTGTCACAAACTAAGCCTTTGACTAATTGGGAGGGGTGGTAAATATGATTAAGATCTCGAAGTTTTCTTTCAGTGAATCTAATGGATTTGCTAATGTTAATATGTTCTGTATTTTTTTTTTTTTTTTTTTTTTTTTTTTTTTTTTTTTTTTTTTTTTTGTGGGGGTTGGGGACTTTTGTCTGCAATATTATTAAATATGGAAAGAAGTTTGGATATATTTTGATTGGAATTTTTTTATTTATTTTATGATAAATAATATGAAGTAAATTTATTCTTTTTTTTTTTGAAAAATAATTAATTTATTATTTATATGTTGTAGAATTTCCTGACAATTTTAAAATATTAAGCTGAGTATTTCAAATCAACTTTTATCAAATGTATTTGCTTTGATTTTCTCTAATCAAAATCCAAAAATCTTAGTGAAAATAGTAATTGAAACATACATTATTAAATTTAATATTGTATGTTTTCAAATTATTTTTTATTTAAAATGCAATGAAATTATATTAATTTTCAAAATATGTAAAACATTAATGCTTTTAGCAAAAAAAAGAAAGTCTCAAACAATAAAATCTAGGGAGATTTACATACATACCACTTAATACTATGCTATTTACATATTTAACATCTAAAACTTTAATATTACATACATGCCACCCATAGTTCATTTTCATATCAAATATGAGTGGTAGAAATGAAATATATGAGTGGTAGGAAAGAAATGTAAGTGGTATATTTGATATTAAAATAATATATGGTGGTATTCATGTAATATTAAAGTTTTAGGTGTTAGATATGTAAATAACATAGTATTAAGTGGTATGTAGGTAAATCTCCCAATAAAAATATTTAAATTAAAAGTCCGTTTTAGAAATCAATAAAAAAGCTATCCCAAACGAACCTAACTTTTCTACAGAAGCTATACCGTAGTTTCTCAGAGTTATCACGATTTTATTTTTGAATGCTTTTTGAAAAGTCATGGCAGACGATTAATTGGAGGATTAGGTTAGAAAATATTATTATTATTAAAAAAAAACATACAATTTCAAAAAGTGGCACTCTCAGCGATTGTGGAACAATTATTAGGTCCGGTGACCGGACGTCGCTCTAAGTGCGGTCACCACTGAGATCGCGCCACGTGCTCTTACTCTTTACCGCGCTGCCCGACGACTTGACCCGGACCGGAACCCGGGAATGCTATGTTCGTGTATTGCTAGGTATTGCTTGACAATAACGAGAAATACCGCTCTGTGAAGACCAATATCGAGCAATACTGAGTTTTTCTAGAAAAACTCGGTATTGCTCAGTATTTGTCTTCACATAATGGTATTTCTCATTATTGTCGAGCAAAATCGACAAATACCTAGCAATACCGGGTTGTCATGTATTTAAAAAACGCACGTGCGACATACCCACTATTAGTCGGGTCGGGTCCGTGGTTTTGTGCTTGCTACGTGGCGCGATCTCAGTGCCGGCCGAACGTAGCTCTACGTCCGTTCACCGGACCAAATAACAGCCGACGATAGGTGGCGGTAGCAAGTGTGGCAATTGTGGATGGTAGCAGGTGGTGGTGATTTTGGATGGCAACAAGCAGCGCCAAAAAAGCCTGCTTATAATGAAAATGATTTTTGCTTAAAATCAGATAAGTTTATTTTACCTAAAAATGGTTTACATTATATCCTTTTATTTTATTATGCATATATTTTCCTCTAATCAAATACCAATAAATTCAAAAGCTATATTAAAAAAAAAAAATTTACACCCACTTTACTTCAAACCAAACCAACCTTGAAAAAAATAAATTTTTTGGACTCAATCATTATTGTAAATCATCCAAAAGGTCAAAAACCTTGGTTGTAAGGCCAAAAATGGAGAAATTACTAGATGCATAGTCTGGACATAGCTTTTATCTGGACTCCAATCAAAGCATGGTAGGTCAATCTATACATAACGCTTGTACAATTTATACACAAATTATATAAAAATTATATACAAATTATGTAAGGCTGACTTGATCTGATTGGAGTCTGGATGCAGTCCGCTGCACATAATAAATTATACTAAAATGACCGCAGGCTGCCTGGGCAAGGGGGTGCAAATGAGTCGAGTCGAGTCGAGCTCGAGTTAGGAATTATTTGAGTCGAGCTCAATTGTCAAATACCGTGCTCGAGCTCAAGCTCAAACTCGAGTCAAGCTCAAAAGTCCAACTCGAGCTCGACTTGACAAGGGAAAACAAGCTCGTCGAGCGGCAATTTGAGCCGTCTTCGCCAGCGTCAGTTGTCGGCGTCCATCACCAGCGTCAGTCCTCGTCGCCAGCATCAGTCGCAATTTCATCTTCCCGGAAAAGATCCTCGCGTTTCATTTTCCCAAGTACGTGATTTCGCTCCACCAGCCACGCATTCCACGAGCTGCTCGACGAGCTCGCATTCGTAAGCTGTCGAGCTTGAAATCATGTTTAAGCTTGAATCGCAAGCTAATTCGTGAGTCGGCTTGAGTCAGTTGCACCCCTAACTTGGGCATCTAAGTGTAAGAAATATAATAAAAAGAATTTGGGGTCTCTTTTATCCGCACTTATAAAAAAATAATAATAAATATAAAAATAAATAAATAAAACAAAAATATAAGGGAAAAAAAAGGAACTTTTAGTGAATTATTATTATATATATATATTGATTGATTAAAATAGGATATGTTACTGCTAAGCTGGGAACCTGAGAAAGCCCCAATGAGTTCATTGAGGAAGGCATCGGATATTGCAGCTCTGTTGCATCTGAAGCCGCATCCAGATGGAGGTTTCTATTCAGAAACCCTAAGAGACTCTTCCATAATCCTCAACAAGTCTCAGCTTCCTCCAAAATGTAAAAATCCACAATCTTTTCTACTTAGCCCTTTGGTTTATATTTCTGCGGCATTTATGTTTTGCGAGGTTTAGGGTTTTCATTGCACTTTGCAGGTTGATTGGCGATTTTGAAACTCTTTACTGTTATAACTTCCTTTGGGCTTTGTTTCTGCTGTATTATGTCCATTTTACTTCCAGTTATACATGGCTGTTGGATAACTTTTCTTTTTCATTTCTATGAGGAGAATGATCGTTATCTTTATATTTTTTTCTATCATTTTATATGATCTTCATATAATGATAATGTTTTAGTAATTTTATTATGTTTTGTCAATTCACTAATCAGGTTTTAAAAAAAACGATCGGACAGTATATAAAGTTTAGCTGATCCTATGGATTTCTTCAATCAAAACTATTATAAATTCTCTAAATTTCACCAACAGGTTTTATGTTTAATACCGATTCATTTGAAAGATTCTAAAATTGATAATTGATTTTGTGTCATCATTCAATCTAAAGCATTCATTGAGAATTTTTTAATCCATTCAATTGATGATCTAATTATTATAGAAATTATTGAAGCTATGTATGTTGGAGATTTTGCATAAAATGTGTAGGATTGTGTCAACCATGTTTTGAATGTCCTCTATGAATACTATGTATATCCAGCATGCATGCTTAATATGCCGGATTAGGCACATGAACGCCATTTCAAACTGAAGCTAACAGATGAAGAGACCTTCCATACTTTCACAAAGATTAGGGGCTCTTGAGCTAATTTAGTAGGTTAGGGCTCTTGAGCTAATTTAGATATTCTTCTTAATTGACATAATTCCACTTGAGTTACTGCATTATAAAACTTTGGAGAATTCACATCATATTGCAAAATTTTTCTTTATTTATATGTATATATAACACCTAAATATTTATATTTAGGTACATAATATTCAAATCCATAGCACATAAAAAAATCCACTAATATTAATTTAATGTAAAACTCACATTTTAATACATATGCTTTTCTTTGATTTAGGTTTAAAACTGATATAGAAGTAAATATAAAGATTTGGATATTAGGTATAAATACATTAAAATTTTGTGAGACATATACAAATCCCCCTAAAACTTTTTTGCAATTGAATCTAGGTGTGTAAGTGAGCTTAGTTAGCTTGAGCTTAGCTCTTTGATGCACTCATTAACTAGGCTTGATGACCCGCAAGCTGAGCTCAAGCTTGAGTTTGAGTTGCTTAATGCATAAGTGCATAACTCATTAAGCGAGCTCATTTATATATGTTGCTTAATGCTCTATCTATCAGACTAGCTCATTTATATTAGATATTTTTTAATAAAATAAAAAATGTTAATAAACTATCTCCTCTTTTCTTCTGGAGCTCGACAAGCTACCTGTCAATCTCAAGGACATCAACAAACTAGAAGTTGAGCTTCATTTATGAGCTCGACCCGAGCTAGGGCTCGAGTGTGAACTCACTTAAACTTGGCATCAATTGTTTACACCCTCATCTGAGAATAAATTTAGACACTTTATAGCTAGCAAGCAATCTTGCATGATGTGCACAAAGAGACCAACTTTAGATGTATTGGGAATTGAAATCTTTCCCTACAAACAAACAAATAACAAAAAGTTGTGTGTTTCTTGATTAAGAGTAGGTCAATTTGTTTCTTTCTTTCTAAAACAGTATGTACTACTCTTTTGGATCATTTGTAGACAAGGTGGATCGCCCTATTAGTTCAGCAATCTTCTTCTTACTGCCATCTGGAAGCAAATCATTCCTCCACCGTCTCCCTTGTGCAGAAACCTTCCACTTTTACATGGGCGAACCTCACACGGTATGAACATTTTCTTAACCTCTCATTTGTTACTTCGCTTTGATAAAAATTCTACTTTCTTAAATTTGTGTTCCTATGAACAATGGCTGTATATCATTCGCTACTATATCATAAAAAATAATTTTTTATTCACATGACACATGGCAAAGTATTTATCACATAGTAACTACACTTCTAGTTCTTTATTTGCAAAATAAGAGACCACTGGAAGCCACTGTAGTTTGTTGAAATTGGCCGAGTGAGTTCTAAGTAGTCTATAACAGCAGAACCTGCCCACGTGCTATCAGGAGGAAATACCCATATGCACATCACGTCAGTCCTCTCCAAAACCTCATAACAAACCAATGCAATCATCGCCACACATCATCACATCACACTTGTATTTACTATCTATATATGCCAATGTATTTAGGAAGTAAAGTGTAATGAATACATACATAATTCCGCAAACAACTCTTTGTATTCTTCTCTGTTACAGCTTATGCATTTCTTCTGTCTAGTTGGCTAGTGAGTTCATCCTACAATGGCAAGAAAATGATATCTCTCTACAAAGTACTGGCCTTTTCTATTTCTAGATGCATTGCTTAAGGTAGATCATTGTTGGGAATGAGGAGTAAACACTACAATGATAAAACAAGCAAGAAAGTAAAATAACGGAAAAATAAAAGACACCAGTATTTAACGTGGAAAAACCCAAAATAGGGGAAAAAATCACAAAGCCACACCACACCAAGAAATTCACTATGAAAATTGAGAGAAATAAGTACAAATCTCTCTTCTCTCTCCTTGCTTCTCTTCTCACTTGGGCCGTTCTTTATATCTACAATCACAAAATACAAGAGAAAGTCAAGTTTAATAATCTTAAGGGATGCAACCCTTCAGAAAAACGAGAAAGAAAATCATCCAGTCCATCTAGCAGTGTTGCAGAGCCAGTTTGGGGCGTTGCAACGCTCAAACTTTTGTCTTGATCTGCTACAACGTCATATCTAGACTGTTGCAGTGCTCCGCTCTCTATCGCTCAACGTTGGGGCGCTCGGGTGTGCAACACCGGGGCACTTGAGTGCACAGCTCCAGGGCGCTCGAGTACACAACCCGGAGCGTTGCATGAAAAAAAAAATTGGGTGCTTTCCTGCACCCCCCGGCAAGAACGACCAACTTAAGGTTCGAGGCAATAGAACAACCCGATTGATGAACACAATTAGATTCCACACATAATAATCATTTAGTTGTCTTTTGAAAAAATAAATCACAAGAGCCAAAGCAAGGATTAAAAACAATAGAAAAATTGAAATATGAGACAAAAATTTACATGATGTAATGAAATTGACTCACATACATCAATGGTTACACAGAAAATATTCCCCTTATAATTAAGAAGGGCTGCTCAATTTTCTCTTACCTATTTTTCTAGATATTGGGAAAAGATAATAAAGGATCAAGCCACACAGTAAGAGATTTGGAGAAGATATAAAGTAATGTTGAGTTATAATTTTTGCATATGATGTTTTCTGGCACCACCAAACTTATCACAGCGACTACTGCACTTGTCTACAACACCATGATTCCACTGCACTGAGTAGTTAACCATGGCCACAAATGAAAGAGCCAATTGTTTGTTTCCTTTCTTTTTCTTATTTTCTCTCTCCTCTCTCTCTCTCTCTTGTTTTCTTTCTCTTTCTTTTTCTCTCTTATATCCTAATCTCTTTCGTTCGATATATTTTTCCCCAACAAACTTCAGGCAGTGATAGACTTCCAACAAATTCTGGCATGGTAAAACCTAATGAAACTGGCTCTTTTAAGCATCCTATTTATAGGAGTTTAGCAGTTCAAAATTTAAAACAAATAATCATATTCAAATTCAAATTTGAACCTAATTCATAACAAAATTTGAACTTAATCTTATCCAAAAAGATGATTCATATTATTTCATATTTATCAATAATAGTATTATATCTTTTTCTATCTTATAGAACAAAAATTTGGGCACCACAAAATTAACTCTATCTCTATGCAACTCCTAAAATAGTCAAACAGATATTTATTAAAGCCCTATAAGCCTTAGGGCTACAGTTTATAGATATTCCACCTCATTCATCTTGGCTTGTGGATTATGGTGCATATGATTTGTTCTTGGGGTGAAGATCTAATTCTGGGGTTAATATATGCTACTTGAATTTCATAATTTTCTTAAAAAACATAATTATTTTTTACAGTCATCCGGAATATGAGCGTGTGACTTGTTATAATTGATCCTATTGATAATACAGAGAATGGACCTGTCATCTCTATCAAGATGATTCTACCTCGTCAGATATTTATTCTAGTCTCTGGAGCACGGACTATATAGAATAATTCTAGTCTCTGGAGCACGGACTATATAGAATAGATCAAGAAAAGAAATATTTGAACTATGATTCATACCTAGAAAGAGAGAGAAGGCGCGGAGCGTTGAAGGAGCAAGAAAGATCGACCTTTCTTTCGCCTGAATTATCACATTTCAGTTTCCCATCTAGGCTCTCCTACATGAGATTTCTTGAAAAAAAGAATAGAATGAGCTTTTGGTGTGTCTCTTTTCAAATAGTTTTTACTCAGAAAACCTTTGAGTTTAGCTTTGGTTTTCTTAAATCATCGTGGTTTTAGTATGATGTCCCTATATGCCTCGATAAAATTTGTGTTGCTAAACATAAATAATCTTCACCTACTTACTATATATTTGAATTTTATTGCTTGAATCTTTTGTTCTACTTAAACTCCATGTTGAATCATTGGGCAGTTTATTTAATTAATATATTATATTATCATATTTGAACTTTGACTCCCATTATTATCGTTGTGTCATATGCGTCCTAACTATCATGATATGCATACAATTGGTTGTCTATTTTGTTCATCTACCATCTCATGAACACTCCAAATTCTTTGCTCAATCTATTAAATGTGTATTTATTGGTTATGCTACTTATAAAGATTATATTTGTGATAATCTATAGTCCAAAATATTTTAATTCTCTCTTCATGTTTTGTATTCTTTGAACATCTATTTTTTCCCCAAATCATGTCGACTCTTTTTCCAAAGATATACTGTTCTTATTAATATTGATGAATTAAATTTTAATATTTACCAATTCAATTTGAATTCGAGTGTGAAATAAACCCTCCATTTTATCACTTCCTAAGCTAAACTTGTCATTTGAGCCAATGAAAATGGATTCGACAACTAAGCCACTAGCTGGAATTCATTCTCTACTCCTAGACGAAATTCCAAAATCTCTCATACTCCAATTTGGTATGGCTTTCACACTATAGGAGCTCTTGAGGATAACCAAACATAGGATATTTTGATTATCTTCCTAATGGTAAATCTATTATCTGGAAATAGGCTTACACAAACAAGCTTTGCTCTAATGGTACTCCAGATCACTATACGACACATTTATTTAATGGTAATAAACAGGAATTTGGGATTGAATTTGAAGACATTTTTGGAACTGTGGCAACTATAATATAAATGATTATCTCAGTCAGGGCCGGATCAATTTATTTTTACAGGGTGGATAAAATTTTAATTAATTAGACAACAACAATAATAATAACAAAAATAAAATAAAATAAAATATAATAATTACATCAAATAGTAATAATAACAATTTTAAACCAACATAATACTATCAAATTTATAAGAGAAATTTTTTATCATTTATCTTTCAATTACATATTTATCTTCAAATTTGTATAGAAATTACATCATTCTAACTTTATTGTCGAGCGACCTCTAGAATGTGACTGAGAAGAAGACGGCTGCGAAGCGGCGACGGCTTCGCAGCCGTCTTGAACATCGGATGTGCGAATAGTGAAAGCGGCTGCAAAGTGTGAACTTGCAAGATGGGTAACGAATCTTAGGATGATAATATTATGGCAAAAAAGTTCTTTTGGGAGGGAGCAAAACATAAAAAATGCTCCTGCTAGTACATTGTTTATTTTTTTGAGGGTCTGGCATTTGCCCACCCTGACATCAAGGGGGATCCGGCCATGATATCAGTTACTATTTCATTTGGGTGTGACTCCATCAAAATTTTTTATTAAAATGCTCATTATTCTAAAGCACATACTTCTACCAGCTTTCTATTCTCTTTCCACAAATAATTCCACTCATTTTTGACAACAAACAGGTATTTGAACTCCATGATAACGGTCAAATTAAGCTGACAATTCTCAGTCATGATTTAGAAGCTGGCCATAAGCTACAGTACACTGTTCCACCTAATGTGTGGTTCTGCTCTTTCCCTACACTGGACGTTCAATCTTTCTCTTCTGATGGTAGCGTTGTAGTGAAGGCTCCATACAGAGATCCTGAACTGTATTATTCTCTGGTTGGTGTCACCTGTGCCCCTGCTTTCCAGTTTGAAGATTCAGAAACTGCTACTTTTGATGACATGATTACTATTGCCCCAAAGGCAAATTCTTTTCTTAAATACCTTATCCGGCCCTGAACATTTCATGCAGGTGAGAGCTTTATAAGTTTTGTTTTTTTGCTGAAGTGAAGTTGATTCAGCTTAAGTTATTGGATGAAAGTTACTCGCTTTTTTATTGGAGAAGAATAAGAGGGTTTCATAGAGCTTGTTTGCAGATTTGAATAACTGTTGTGATAATTTAGTTACCCATCAAATTCTTAGCAAGCAGTTTTCCAACTTGTTCAGCTACGTTTTGTCTACATATTTGGGTTTCGTTTGGGATGATTTTAGACCACAGTTTTATTTTGCTTCCAAGAAAATTTTTATCGAAAATTAGTTTTACAAAGTAGTAAGAAAGTAGTTCCAAACGAAGTCTTATTATTATAAAGAGAATCCAAAAATTATAATACTTGAATACACTAAATTATTATTAACTATCCAATACAAAGAGAAATATTAAAGAGAATTCAAAAATATGTAATTGTCAGGTCGAACCCCGTCAGGGGGTGCTGCTCTGTTGGACCCTAGACATATATGCAAAGTGTACAACGATCAATGATATGAACAAATAGGGGTCGAGCCAAATTCCAGGCAACTCCAATATGCATTTTGTAGAAATTAAATGATTAATCAATTACATCATTTTGATTTTTTTTTCAAACAAATAATTCATACTTCAACCTAATTTTTGTTTAAGAATAATTTTCGTTATATAAAATGTTTATGATATTTTTAAAATGTATTATGTATTCAAGTACAAAGAATCAATAGTCACTAAAATTATATATATATAAAAGTTGTCCTCCCCTGAAAATTAAGGCTAATTTCACCCTGCTTAACAGTATTGCAATGTTTACGAGTAGCTTGGCCAGATTTTTTGGTTTTATAAGTTAGTTTAGAGTAGCTTGGCCAGATTTTTTTTGTTTTATATGTTAATTTCTCAGGTTCTTTATTCTCTAATTGTAAATTCTTTATTAATGTTGCTTCAAATAAAGCTGGAAAGACGATTAACTCTTATAACATATTAACGAAATTTAAATTTATTGAGCCACAAAATTTTAGCTAAGCTCAATCTCATATATTATACAACTACGATCTTATACTTAGCTCTTTTAAGTTCGATGAGTTACTCAATTAACGTAAACATGTATTTAAAAATTAATTTCAAATTAACATTATAAAATATATTCAACACTTTTTATTCTTCTATACTCCCATTATAAGTAAAAAACATTTAAAAAATAAAAATTTTAATTTAAAGTTAAAAAAATCAATCTCAACAATTGAGTTAAACTTAAGCTTAAAATTTTTTATATGAGTCCAATTCAAGCTCAGTAAATAAGCTCAAATCACGCTCAAACTCGAGTTCGAACTCAGTAAGAATTCAACATTAAACTCAACAAATTCAGCTCAATCAGTCAGCATATACTCAACTCGACTCGTTTACACCTTTAAATCCAAATTTCTAAGCCAAAGCTTCAAAACTGAATAGATTACTTGTACTGGTCAAGATAGGTGTGGAATTAACAATCCAAAACTTTAAATGAATCAAAATAGAGTCAAATTTGGGCAGGTGCCAGCTGCAACTATAAATAGAATAGGCCAACCACCATAAATGTGTAGTAGATTTGTGCAAATTGAGCATATATTTCTCCATAAAAGAGGGAAAAGGATCATAAATCATTCCACTATATGTAAAAAAAAAACTTCTTACTCTGCAAATATAGTGACTGATTACTACAATGACAAATCTTCTGCTATGCATATGGAGATAGAATGAGAAAGGGAACTGATTAAATGGGGGAGTAAAACTAAGAGAATAAATAAATTAAGCATTCTCTTTGTAAAGAGTAAATGCCACTGCACAGCTAACAGACCCTGCCGATTTCTCGTTTAAGTCGCTAATATTATCATTATTATTATTACTATTACTATTACTATTACTCCCGCTTGTCTTCTTCGATGTCTCCATTGTTAGAGACTTTTAAAGCTGCTTTGTTTTCTGGTGAGAGAGAAGCAGTCTGGCTGTCCTTGGAAGGGAAAGGCCCAGGTTTTATCAAAGAAAAGGTTTCCTCTCTATCAAATTCTTCGCTTGCATCAGCAGAGTAAGCATATCTGATTAAGAAAAGAGAAGAAAAGGTAAATTAAATGGATAATTATGTTTATGATCAGGGGAAAGTATAGTTAATGGAAGATTCTTCAATGAATAAGTTTCCTCTCTATCAAATTCTGCGCTTGCATCAGCAGAGTAAGCATGGCTGACAAAGAAGAAGTACATTACATAACTAATTATGTTTAGACCATCCGCAACCGAACGCTAGACAGGCCTATGCCGTCCGCCAAACGATTCAACTGAAGGCCAATTTGCCTGCTAATTTCTGGGAGTGAACAGTGTTACAGTGCGATGCCACTGTTCACACACACTATTTTGGAGTATATAAATAAAGTATGATAAATAATATAAAATAGAGTATGAGAAAGAATATACACATAATATTCTTTTTTTTGTGTTAGAAAATAGAGTTCGGTTGAAGACGAGTTACTGCATTTTGGAGTATTACCGTATTTTGGAGTGAAAAATGAGTTTTTCGGTTGGAGATGGCCTTAGTGATGAGGGGAAAAGAAACTCAATTGAAGATTCTTCTCAAATGAGATCAAATGTCTTTAATTCTCATGGAAGCCACACTGAAATATGAGGAGCAAATACTGTCATGAGCAGCGAACTTATAAAACCATTTACCCAAGGAGAGGCTTTGTAACCTCATGCAAAATCTTTTTTAAGTGTAGGAGTACGCACACACAAGCTGCAGGGTCAGCTAGGGGAATTTATGTGGGTTTTTTAGATTATTAATTTCTAGAAAAAGGTTGAATTATAAATTCAAAAAGCTTTGGAAATCAAATTTAATTAATCATATGCTATCCATATCTATTCACCTAAGGATGAAGTCTACAAATCAAGGTTTTAAAGCATATAATTTGATATATTTAGTTGAATAAAAACGATTCTTCCAAATTTTAATCTTGTCTGTACAAGTTGAAAATATTTTTCTTTCGAGTGATATAAGATTGCTATCTAATATTGGGGAAGTAACCTCGTTGTATTGGCATGGAAGCAAGATTTTGAAATTTTTTCATGACCTAATTTTCTTCTACATACTTTGTTATTATCTTGTTAATGTTCCCATTTTTATTCAAATTTGGTCTTCCGATGACCCGGTTTGGAAAGTAGAGGTGTTAGATTTGACTTCTGTTAAGAAAGATAGAGGTAAACCTAAAAAGATTTAGTTAGAAAATATTAGAAATGATCTTTCTTTATTAGATTTAAACAAGAATTCGACTTTTAACATGGCAAAATGGAGAAAAATGATTCATGTAGCCAACCCCACGTAGTAGGACAAAGACTTGATATTGTTGTTGTTGTTGTCGTCGTCACTATTGGGATTCTTATTGTTGTGATCAAATTACAAGCACTTGTTGATCAAATTACATAAGTTGCAACTAGCCTAAAATAAGCCAATACTAAACTCGGAATGTACAAACGAGTATTATATTTCAATCTTCCATGAATACATTCCAAGCATGGTCCATTGAAAAGTGTTCAATTTGGAAAAGATCAAAATGGTGTTTCAGCTGTAATAAGAAACTAGCATATTGGTTGTATATCTTGAGAAGACGGTGTTGTACAAGACATACAACAATTTATCTCGCACATAGAAAGTACTAGACGAAGTCTTTGTTTGGGATAACTTTTTTCCTGCTTCTAAAAATAGCTTTTTAGTAGAAAATTTTAAAATTTTTGAACTAAAAAGCTGCTTTAAGAAGTAGTAAAAAAGCCATTCCAAATGAAGTCAAAGTATGCAAGAACAAAGCAGTCGTAAATCTTGAGAAGTGTTTTCCGAGAAAACGCATAGCATTAAAATATATATCATGAAAAGCTTATCATAACTGAAGGCTCACCTCATTGAATTCTGAGACGGTGCCCACAGAATACATATCACACAGAGAAGAGAAAAGGTAAGGACCTGCCAAAAAGCAGGAATTATCCATGCCCTCTGCCATCGCTCATTGTACACATCAGTTGACTTGAAATAAAGCTGCATGAAGAAAAGCAATTGATGTTAGTCCAAAAGTAATGCAATTGGGAGCAGCTATATCAAATGAAGGAACTGATAAACAGTTTTCTCAAGACATAGAAAAGAATAGTCTCAAATACCACCATAGAATGTGAAATATTAACAAAGAACTCAGCTTCAAGATTCCATTTGCATTGCACGTTCACAAACCATAAAAAGGTTTTAACAAATTTTTAACTAATAATCACCAAACATGCTTTAGGCAAGCCAGTGATCCAAAAACCTGACACAGTAATCTATTTTGGCTTCGTTTGGGATGGCTTTCTTACTGCTTCTTAAAACAGTTTTTTAGTATAAAAATTTTAATTTTTGTACTAAAAAATTGCTTTAAGAAATAATAAAAAAGCCGCCCCAAATGAAGCCTTCATCTGTGAAAAGCATGCAGTTAATGAATTTTACCTCGTAGCCAATCCAACCAACAGATACAATAACAGTTACGGCCAATGTATTTGTGAATTTTCTGTAGATGTCTAGCTTAGCCATCAATCTTCTAGCCTGTAACAGGGAAGCAACAGAAGTAAAATTCCAACCACTTACAGCACTGTGGATGTTGCATGTGGATGTTGCCATGCCAAATGCACTATAATTCAGTATAGAAGAATCTATACCTGGAGCTTCTCTAGTGTCTTGGAGAGAGAGGTGAATATCCAGAGGATGAAGAAAGCATCCAACATAGCAACCGGAAGAACTAAAAACAGTCTAGCATTTCCAGAGAGATCACTTACAGCACCAAGATTCTCTACGGATTCAAGAACCTCAGAAGCTAGAAAAAAAGTTGCCCCAAGCATCTTTACCTTTGATGAAAGACCACCTAATGTCGGCCTTACAACACCATAGCCCATAGAAACAAGAAGTATGATCAGCCGCGCAATAGTTCTTTTAATAGTGCCAAAGGTTACAGCCCAAAACGTGATCCCCATGGGGCGAACTCCAGTTTTATTGAACTCAGCATATTCTAAATACCATAATGCCATTTCAAACATGCCTAAAGCAATAACAGCTGTTATGCAGTTTTGAAGTGGAAGAACCTCTCTCCAGAACCTTGCGTACTGAGAGAACCAAAAGATTCCGAGTATCACAAAGGCAAGAGAGATTATTCCATAGAAATTCATAAGTGGAGCCATCCTCCCAGGTAGATAACCGGAGGGATTTTTCCAAACAGTCTTGCCTTCAATGACCAGTCCTTTAAGTGAAGGATCACAAAAAATGAAATATACATTATACATCCCAGTTTTTGTAATTGATATTGTTTTAGATGGTAAAGTTGCAACTACATCCTTTCCTGTGAAATAAGCAGAGAATATTTGGGGCCAGTCAGGGTTCTGGGCAGAGGGACGATAAATGAGATTGCCTTGAGTGCAAACGCCTAATTTTGCAAGATCTGCCGTGCAGCAAATAGCTTTCTGACCACCATAGGCAGATCCACCAATAGTTTCACGATCTTCCACTTCAAATACAATGGCTTGAACCTTTACTGAGTCCGTTTCTTTACTCGATGCAGCAGCTTCCTCTGGCCTTTGCAATGTGATCTTCTCAAATCTGTGACATCAACAAATTTAATGATGTGAGTGTTATCAATTTCATTTTTGTCAAAAAGTTCATTTTGGTCTACAAAGTTCTTAAATGAAAAGCAATGATAGGCTTGAAGTGTAAAGGTTCACTGTATAACGCATAAATAGACAAGCCATATGTACTTCAAAATGTTCAAATGCTCCACACAGTAAATTGAACAAAAGGAGAAAATTACGCCCTCGCGTGAAGCCTGTCACCAAACATACACAAAATCATCTACACATCAATCACTTCAAAAAAAAACCTTATAAGACAAGTTATCTCAGTTTCATCTACACCCATTAGGCTTTGGCAGATTCTTCAAAAGCCAGCAAGGAGGCTTCCACGTAGCTGGGAAATTAAGCTGCAGTTAAAGCCACATATGCAGAAAAAGCAGCCTCCTCGACTGCATCCAACCAAGTTAAGTGCACTTCACAATATTCACCACTATTGCACAAGTAACTCGTGGCAAGATGGTTCATGACAAAGATCTCTTTCCACTAAATATGGGCGGCATGGGTGGACTTCACCATGAAACAGAACACCGCCAACAGACATTCTTTTTCACATAGCTATATATCAATTTATTGGTTTCTCAAATAGTATCATACATTGAGGTTTAACTCAGACTACATGTGCAAGGAACGATTAGCGCAGAATATAGTTATTCAAGAGAAATAATAATAATAAGTTTATTGTGGGCTCTAAATGTCCTCACCAGCTTTGTATATATATAAGACAATTGTTATCTGAGTTGATTTTTCATAAGATGGATTAAATAATAGATAAAGAAACACTGAAAGATTTCTCCCTCAAAAAGTACTTTATATTTTTAGTTTAAGGCTTCCCAAAGGTACAAATCATCATAGTTAATTACCCCTCTCAATCATGACAAAAGTACTTTCAAATAAAGCTAATCTATAGTTTTTATAATGCTTTGTTTTGATGGCAACAACTTGGATTGGGTATAGATTGGGTATAGAAAGATACATCGCTATTGGCGCAAAACAAAAGGTTGAAGAATGAAAAAAAAAAAATTTACAACACGTGGCCAATTACAGTTAATATACAGTAATTAGGACGCATGGCCAATACACAGTTTTTTATATTACTCTGTATTAACTCTATATATAAAATGTATTATATACACAGTCAATATACATCACACAATAAATGCACAGTAATACAAAAACTATATATTGGTCATGTGTCCATATTTGATTGGAGTCCGGACACAACTCTACATCCGGACTCCGTACGTAATAATTTCTCCCTCAAGAGAGCTTTATCATAGGTACTCATCCAAAAGATTGGGGGAGATGCGTTGAAATTCATCACTAGTCATGTGATGGTGGATGACCTCTGCATCAATCAAATTAGCATTGCTCGACTGAAAGATCAGATGTAATCTCATCTAATAAAATATGCTTAAAAACTAGGACTATGCTAAGATTGATGACAAAACTAGAACTCGTGCTACTGGCGTATATAAAAACCTACAATCATAGATATAAATGTTGAAAAGTGTGATGCTCTAAATAATCTGTGGTATTAACTCCTCAACATTAAAGATAGGACTGATATTCAGGTTAGCAAGCAAATCAGTAATATAATCTGGAGACAAATAGAGACTGTTATTTAGGGATTCATTGTCTTCGATCATAGATCAATCTAATACAATTTTCACCCTAAACTGCCCACCCAACCCTCGCCCCCTGCATCTAGCTGTTCCCTCGTAGTTGTAGCTCTAGAGCCCATTATGTTTTAATCAAACCATGCTAACGCAAAATAAGCTGCTGATTTTAGTGAATCTTTCTCTAAGCTACTCTGGTCGGATCAGTCTCCATCAGTATAACAAAAATCATGCTAGCTCCTCTCAATTGTATTAAACTTCGGTATTTTCAGTTGTCCTCCCAGCATTGCTCTTTGAAGAATTAAAAAACATTTCTCAGGTATTTTTAAGCAGCAAGCCTGAGATTTTCACCAAAAGACTCAAGTAAATATTGGAGTAACAAGTAAATATTGGAGTAAATTGGCTTATAGAGACAGATCGAGTCACTAAGATCCACCCACATTCCCCGCCCGCAGATTTCACAAGTCATGCTAGCCACCCCATCAAAATACACTAACATCGACAAACCTAAATCCCCAACTCTTCGACGCAACAAAACCGAGACAAATATCTAAATGTACAGCATTAGATCTGAGAGATGTTAGAACGGGACGAGACATTACCGGATGAAAGAATCTCCACTCGCAGCAGCGGCGGAGGCATTGGGGTTGGGAAGGGATGAATAGAGTCCCTCACTCCCGCCGTGCAGGACGAATGCGTTGCCCTTGCTCATAAACTTCTCCCCCTTATAATCATGAACGGAAGCAACGGCTGGGTGGACAACGAACAGGAAGAAGAAGATGAGCAAAAGAGGAGGCGAAGGAGATGAGAGATTGAAATTCTTCGACATTGGATCACGGGAGAGCTCCCACTCTTTCTTTCACAAAGAGAGGGAAAGAAAGCGCCGACAGAGCTGGATCTGATGAGAATTATTTAAGATAATAAGCTGCCAGAGACTCGAAGGCCGAGGATTGGAGAAGACTTATTAAGGAGAAAATTCTTCTTTGTTTACGCTCACTAATTGAGATTCGAGATATTAATTATATTATGATATTATCTACATGCATATAAATAATAAATCTTATTAAAGTTATTTATTTTAATCTTTATTAAAAAAACTAATTTTTAAGCGTCTAAATTTTTTTATTTCATAACTCATAAATTATTTCTCAATAACACTGAATTATTGATGATACCATTAAACTATTACTTATAATAGTATATAAATCTAATTATATTATTTAATATTTTAGTTTTATTTATTTTTTTAATTGAATTATATAATTTAATAATTTAGTTTTATTAAATGATAACATGTTTTATGTGAAATTAAGGGTGTATTTGTGGTGAAATTATTATGTGCGGATAACGATGCCGTCCGGAGGCAAATTAAAATGCGTCATGTCACTCGTTTACTGTGTACCAGGTGATGTAGTGCGTTTTGAATCGCCTCCGGACTATCCGGTGTCTGATAACAGAGAGCGAAGAAGCAGCGACGGGAAAGAAGGAAATAAAGCTTTCTTCTTTTTTTTTTTGGACATTTAGGTCATTTAAGGCAAACTCATACACACAACGCATACACAAAGACTCGAACCCAAAACCTCTTAGTTGGAAGCATAAGCTCTCAACCAACAAGCCAAGGTGAGCTGTGTGAAATAAAGCTTTCTTATTAATGAACATTGGATACATGGTTCTATATATAGAGAAAGACATAGCTAATGAACAGTAAGGATTACACGATAAAATCTAACGGTACAGAAAATACATATTAGTTAATACTTTCCACCAAAATCAATGAAAAAGTAGTAGTCAAATGAAAATGTAATTACTATCTAAAAAGCAAAGTAGCAAGAAAGATGTCATGAAAATCCTATCAATATGCATAAAAATATTCGATCATATTTTTTCTCTTTGATTAAGAATTCAAACAAACAATTAAACAAATAAATAAATATCAACATAAATATACTAATATAAATAAAAATGAATGGATTTTAATGGCAATAAATTTTATTTCTGATGTTACAACTGCTCAATTAAGTTTTGTAGATCAAAATCATCGTATGGGAGTACAACTGCCTCAACATCACGGTAATGGTTCTGCTTCACATGCTTCTATAAGGAGCAGACCTTGGGAAGGCACCTCTGATGAACTTCCAGGGAGTGCTGGTGGAAAAAATGGTTCAGATGATAATAGTCTTTTATCTTCAAAAGGAGTCAGCCATTCATACTTCTACATTAAAGGATCAAGCATGATTGACACACCAAAGTCTATTCAAAAGCAGCTCGAGCAATGGGAGATTTGATGCAATCCTATTCATGCATGTTCCTCAAAGAGAAATGCATAAACACTTGATGTCCCTAGCAACCCATGAGTCTGGTTCAATTGTTGTTGGTCATAGCACAGATGGCTATGATCTCCGGACAGAATAATTTTTCATAAAACACAGGGAAGTGGTCCTAATTAAGCTATACCAAGCCTCCTGGTATATTAGCGTTTCATCATGCCCATGATGGTGATCACTAGAGCCTGGAAATGTTGCACCATCTGAACTAGCCATCTGTGCTATGGCCAACAACAACTGAACCAGACTCAAGGGTTGCTAGGGACATCAAGTGTTTATGCATTTCTCTTTGAGGAACATGAATAGGATTGCATCAAATCTCCCATTGCTCGAGCTGCTTTTGAACTGACTTTGGTGTGTCAATACTGCTTGATCCTTTAATGTAGATGTATGAATGGCTGAGTCCTTTTGAAGATAAAAGATTATTTTCATATGAACCATTTTTTCCAATAGCACTCCCTTGAAGTTCATCTGAGGTGCCTTCCCAAGGTCTCCCCCTTATGAAGCATGTAAAGCATAACCATTACCGTGATGTTGAGGCAGTTGTACTCCCATATGATGATTTTGATCTACAAAACTTTCAAGCTGGTTTTTGAATTGAATAGTTGTAACATCAAAAAACCCATTGAATTCAAAGTCAATATTACCATCACTGTCTGAAGAACCAATGTCGATGATTTTGGTTTGCATGGGTAATGAATGACTAGAGAAAACTTCTCTATTAAACTATAAAAAAAGTAGCTAGTAGGTTTGAAGAGGTATAAATATAAGAATAAATTATTCTATGAGGACACTGGACGTTCTCTGGAGGTCAATCAGAACTCGTCACGTCACTTTTTTACTCGGTACTGATGTTGGGTACCGCTGGGTACCGGGTGACGTTGTGTGTTATGGTTGGCCTCCGGATCGTCCGGTGTCTGCACAGAATAATTTCTCGAATAGAAGTAGCTTACAAATGCACACTTCTGCCACTCCCCACTCTCTTTACATGACTTCTCTGATACCATATAAGAGATTATAATTGAGAATAAAAAGTTCTTATTATACTAAAGAGCCTTTACAATATTTATAGATACAAAAATTATCTAATAAAATAAGGTGCATTAACACCCAAATTGAATGAGCATTAACTATTAAATTAAATGACAACTTAATGTGATAAGTATTGAAAGGAATATCATAAAACTCAATAAAAATAATTTATGATATTCCATTATTCCCCGAATAACAATATCATAAAATTTAATTCATACCATTATGAACATAAAGTATTATTCATTATGCTATGAATCAATTCTGAGCAACCTTCAAAATCATGGTTGGTACTAATTAATAAATAATGGCCTGACTAAGTTAATATATTATGAAGTATTGATTCAATATAATAGATGAAATATATGAGACAGTAGATTTTAAATTTCTGCATGAATTTATAAAAATATCTTAGGTGATTTGTTATTTATTAACTAAGTATTATATATAAATCATAACTTGAGATTGATATAAAATATTTTGTACATGCAAAAATTTAAAAATGAATATGAGTTTTTTTTAGATGGTTATAATTTTTTATAAAGTTGGTTGTAAAGTCATTATAGGAAAATAATTTTGCATTTACGAGTGTAAAAAAGCAGCTTTTCACCATTAATTTTTTTTTTTAAATCAATGAGAATGTAGTAACCAAACATAATTGTAGCTGCTATCTAAAAAGAAAAGTAATGAGAAAGTTGTTCCAAACAAATCTTATATGCGTATGCATAAGTATCTTTGTTTTGGATTTGGGTGTGTGTGTGTTGATTTATATAAATTTAGATAGCATGAAAGCATGAGATAATTTTAAGCTTTTAGTAGAAGTTGAGAAGGAAATGAGAAGAAAGAGAAGTAGGTACACTGTTGGGAATAGCTATTTCCAGTGGAATATGACCCATTGGAATCATCAGCAATAAATTCGCTAGTACAAAAAGCATAATTTCAAGCGAAACGGGTTTTAAATATATTGGTAAATTTTCTGGCAGAAATGTTTGCCTAAAATTCTATCAGAAATGACCCTATTTCTGGGATTTCTTTCATTCGTCCGCTATTTTCATGCAAAACAGCATTCAGAACTTCATTTTCATGTGAAATGCAGCCGTAGCTCAAACCCTTGTTCTCGATCTTCATTATTTGCCATTCTCGAACACATTCGAGTCTCTGTTCTTGAACACATTCCTCTGTTGATTTCTCCCTTTCCGGTCACACGCATTCCTCCATTGTCGGACACAATCAAGTCTTCATTCACTTATTGTAAGCACATTTATTTGTCTCTTCCTCAAACTCTTATTGCTTATATAATGATTAGACAAAGCAAATATGAGATTAATTTTGAAACATCCCAAACTCTTAACTATCGATATATTATTTGCTTTGACCTAAGAGCCTCACGATTTTGTCCTGTTGGTATAACTTCCTAGTAGGTCACTCATCCCATAATTGCTCTGTGATGAGTACACTTTAACTACAGAGTTTCTTACGAAAATTCCAGCCGTTACACCAAAAGGCGCCTCGATGTTTAAGAGTTAGTTTTCTTTTACTTAAGGGGTTTTAATCTCGATAGTTAAAAGTTTGGGTGGTTACAAATGGTATCAGAGCAATACATTAGCCAGAAGATGTGAGCTAATTAGTGTCATACAAAATAAAGTGTTACACCATGAAAGCCACCTCTTGAACCATGTATGACACAAAGTGTTACATGACGGGAGCCACCACTTGAACTTGTAGGGGCCACCTCTAGAGTCATATCTGTCTGGTGGATGATTTTGGGATACAGATGCTGACGAGGACGTTAGTTACTTAAGTGGGGAGATTGTGAAACCCCTTAAGTAAAATAAAGCAAATTCTTAAACATCGATGCGCCTTTTGGTGTAACGGCTGAAATTTTCGTAAGAAACTCTATAGTTAAGCGTGCTCATCCCAGAGCAATCATGCGATGAGTGACCTACTGGGAAGTTATACTAACAGAACAAAATCATGAGGCTCTTAGGCTAAAGCGGATAATATCTCGATAGTTAAGAATTTGGGCTGTTACAAATTTTACCAAAGAAATTAGAACACAATTTCTTTTCTATTTCCATTTTTGTTCCCTATCAACCAATTCCTTCAAACTAAATAGAACCATAGGAAAGGAATTAGAAAAAAACATCAAACATTTTGATTATCCAATATATGAATAGCCATGACCATCTCAATAATAAATAATTTAAGATGAGTTTTAATGTATAGGTGAAAAGATTTTTTAAGATGAGTTATATGTGTAGTAGGACATGATAACAAATGCCTAATGAGCAGGATTGAAGACATCAAATACATGCTGAGCGCACTTGAAAGGGATTGTAGATCACATCTCTAAGAGAAAATGATTTACAAAACGCGTCTTTGTACTAATTTTATTAGGATTCTTTGCATGTAAGATTTAGTAGATCATATCTTATATGGATATTCAAAATTAAAGAAATTGGATGTATAATTAACATTTGCCTGTACAAAAATATTAACAGATTAATTCACCAAAGGAGATCATTTTTTATGCCGGTTTCAAACAAATCAGAGCCATCCAACCAATTCTTGATTTAGGAATAAATTCAAAAATGCTTAAAAAGTCAAATGGAGTTTAATCATTTTAAATTTTGATCAATTATGGCTGAAATTACACTCAAATCAGCCCCGATTCGTATCAAGCTGCACCGATTTGGGTTCAATTGCATTATTTTGGTGAAATTAAACCCAAATCGACATTAATTTGACTCAAATTGGGATCGACGAGGCTCAATCAACTAGATCGAACATTCTCAGGGCCATAACTACAAAATTTGAGGTCAACAGTTGTTTGTTTCTTTTTATCTTTAGATATTATTTTGTACTCACGAGCGGATAGAGGGGTGTTGCATTTGTATGACTACTGGATATTCTGCATACTTTTTGGAGTATGAAAGATAGATATCGATGTTTTAATAAACAAATTTATTTTCGCTAATATTTATACTATTGATAAAAAATTAGGTAGCTATGATTATTATTAAAAGATAAAATGAATAGTTCTTTTCAAATTAAATTATGGGGCATGACATATTATCAAAGTGGTTGAAAGAAGATAATTAATAATATAGAACACTAATAACTTGTCATCTCTCCAAAGCCAAGAAAAATCATATACATATATGCAAAGATGTTATAAATAATTGAACATGATTTATGTAGCATAATCAATCACCATGGCCTTTAAGACAAATTAATGTTATAATATATTATAAATAATGCATGTGTAAGATATTGAAAATTTCGTCTTATCATAAATGCAATAACTTAGACCATACTATAAAAGGTATCGTCGCTTTGACCTAGTTCATTCTATATGAAAGTCAACCTTATGATTTTTTTTTTTTCGCTTAACTTCTTAAGAAGTCATATACCGTATGAATGTTTCATTATAAGCATCCATAACAAATTGAGTTTTCAAGAATACTCTATCCATTGTAAAGTTTTCAAGAGAAATTCACTCGAGAGTTGCGCCTTATTCAAGCCTAGGATCGATATTCAGTACTTTCTCGTGATTTCTCTCTCTTTGATTTTGAGTATTGTAATTTATGTTGTAACTTCTCAGCTAAATGCTTAGTCTCTGAGGTTCACATTCATAATATTTATTAAATCCAATAAATTATGTGACTTAAAAAGGGTATTAGCTCTAAAATAATTGAAATTTCATCTCTTGTTTAAAATTTGATCAACTAATTCCAATAAGACATTAATGATTACCGTAATTTTTTTTTTTTTTTTTTTATGGTCGAAAAAAACTTGTATTATTGCAGGAATAACAATGACAATTTACTAGGGGCAAGTAGACAAGATTAACAAAGCTAACTAAAGCTAGCATTGTGGGACTAGTGAAGCTGTCTAGAGTTGGCGTTGCTTTATCAGAGCTGCCATTTTAGGTGCGACAATGCTTCCTCTTGGGTGCCATGTGTGTGGAGCGATAGGATGATTCACAAGATAGGATGATTTGATTTGATTTAAATTTATATATTTTTATTAACTAGCATAAAATATTAATATTGTTTTAAGAAGAGACCCAAACTTATGTAGGTTCCTAAATCTAATATTTAATTATTTTGTAGGTATGCTATCACACAAGACCTCACGAGAGCATGTGATACCTAGATAGCAGATGCTCACTATACATGACTATAGATGCTAACTAATTCATTTTGTTGGAGGCTATATAACTAATTTATTTAATTAAATATTAATAAATTATGAGAAGAAAAAAAGTATAGTAAAGTAGAGGGGCAAAATTAAATAAAATAAAAATTGATTTTAGCAAGTGCAAAACAACGTTAGTGATAAATTCTTCTTATCTTATTGGAAAAGGCATTCTCGTATTTTTCTGGAGCATGTAGCAACCAGCGAGTTGCGACTTGCGACTTGCGACTATCGCATTCTTTGCCCGTCTGCTTCCAATCCGGTGGTGGAAGTTGCGATCGTCTATTTTTCCTCCGCGATTCTCAAATTTTTGGTAATCTATTTGATCTCTCTCTCTCACTGTTTTTTGTTGTTTTTTAGTGAGGTTTGGGTGTATGGGGGTCCTGTTAGGGTACCCCAAATTTGTTTTCAAAGTGAAAATGCAAGAACATTTGCACCCATTTTTCATTAGAGTGATGCATTGGGGAATGGTTTGGTTCGCTCAAAAATTTAGATTGTTATCTTCGTTTCTGTTCGAAGGCAATATATGATATGAGGGAGGGAGCATAAGGGCGAAAGGCAGTGATCAGTGGCATGTGAATGGCGATAGGACTGGCTAGGCGAGGCGATGATGGCATGAACGGATTGTAACAAGGAGATTCTATGCATGTAAATAGAATAATGAAGTGTAAGTGTCCAATATATAAATCCTAATATTTTGAGTGAAATGCATCTAAATAACCCCTTTATTATAATGATGGCGCCAAATGACTTGAATTCAGATCTCAGATACATCAGTAGGACAGAGTTCTGTGGTTATTTTGGTGAATGTACTACTGTCCTGGGATGGATCACTTTCTCTTTCTCTTTATATAATCAATTAAGGAAAACTATGTAGCTCATCTAAATTTGTTGGTTGGGAGCTTTAACTATCAATGAAGATGCATTAGGTTTGAAGCTTGCGTATGAAGCTTGCGTATGTGATATGTGTGTGCTTTTTTTTATTAGCTAAAAAATGACAACTTGCAGTACTATTTATGCATCTTCTGTATATTGTCATTTATATAAAATTTTTACATTCTCAGCTTCCAATGAAGAGACCACTCATTGCTCCCAACAATTTGTCACGACCTGTGAATGACCATTTTGACAAGGAAAGTTTAGTGAAAGTGTTAAAACAACATTTTGGCTATTCTGGATTTCGGGGAAAGCAGTTGGAGGCTATTGAAGCTTCTTTGACAGGTTTAGAATACATTGCTCTAATTTATTAAATGAGTCAAACTAGAATTAGTATGTTAACCATTCAATTTCTCTTGATATATGAAAACACATATCATTTTCCTCCTTTTCCCATCTTTCAAATTCTTTAGTTTTTTTGTTTATACTATTATTAAATGGTTCAAAATGTTGACAATTTGTGTTACAGGAAGGGATTGTTTTTGTCTCATGCCAACAGGGGGAGGAAAGTCCATGTGCTATCAGATTCCCGCATTGGCATCGTCAGGCATTGTGCTTGTAATTTCTCCTTTAATTGGTGAATATCGTAGAGGCAATATGATTTGAGAATGTTTTTGTGGTAGTTTGAGCTAAATCCTGTTATATCTCAATAGACTAACAAGTTGTTGTTTCCAATCTGAGCTTCTCTGAGCAGCGTTAATGGTAAGCTATTAGTTTCATGAATAGTAATGTTGGTATTCTTTTTCTAATTGGCATCACTTGATTTTACATGCTGTGTTAAAATAGGAAAACCAGGTAATGGCGTTGAAGGCAAGAGGAGTTCGTGCAGATTTTCTTTCATCAACGCAGTTGGCTTGTACTAAAGAGAAGGTAACGTTTAGTTTAATTCTAGATTAATGTTGTTGTTGGATTGATTATATTTAGCAACAAAACCATATGGATGCATACTAATTTGTTGACTTGCTGTATATGATTAGTTATGCTCAATCACAGTTTCCTTGATAATTACAATATGAATTGACTTAACATGATAATTTTATAACCAACTGAGGGCCTAAATGTAGTCTGATTAAAGATTATTACAAAATTTGGCCTTTGAAAGAATGTTTAATATTTATTTTATTGCAGGAGACTTTTTTAGCGGTTTTATTTTCCATATTCCAATTTTTTTGTTTTATTTTAGAAAGTAAAGATGTTATTCTAGGATAACATATATTATTAGAATATGCTACCTGGTTTGTCTATGTATTTGAGGTCATAAAATGGCTATCTTTTTTCAACATGAATCTTTGATTTGGTAAATATTTTTTCATAGTACAATGATTTTCAGATTAAATAGCCTACAAAATTTTAACTTTCCCTTGAGTGTACCTTCAAACTCTTAAAAACTACCCTGATTTAGCATTTGATAAAGAGTCGTTCCTAATTAGTTGCAACAATTTTTAGCAGCATATTTTATTTTCTCGCAAGGTTTATAATCTCATGAAAATTTTAAAAGAGTTGAATTGCAATCATATTTTTTGTATTATCAAACTATGCCACAAGAGTTCATTTACATTCATATTTGTTGTATTATCAAAAGCAATCCAAAACTTCTACCTCACCCTATGACTGGTGGGTTCGTGGAGGTAGGGATTATGGCGAGCTTGGTTATTTGATTGTTGATAATAGAAAAAATCTAGTGTAGACAAAGAATAAAGTTTGTAACGAGAAGAAGATATTGGTGAAGAGATTAATGAATACTTTAAGGGGAGGAGATACCATATGCTGGATAGAAATTTAACCAGCGGTTGATTTTCATATGATATCATATGCTGGAGATCTTAACTATCATCTATAATAAAGGCATAGTTTTGATGGTAAATTTACCGTCTTTAATCTTAGTATTTTGTCCTTCTCCTCATCAATCTTAATCTCAACAAGCAAAGAAGATAACTCGAGAATGAGAGGGCAAATAGAATATAACATAAATCTATTCCAATGGGCACTTCATCTTCTATTCATCATGTTGAATTTAGATTTTGTTGAACAATTTTGATTCCAACTATTTTTCATGCCAATAAAAAAATTTGGCTACTAAAGAGTAGTAAAATTATGGTGGTTAAGTTCATAATCAAATTATGTCCTCAAATAATCTTCTGAACCATTGACTTAAATTGTTTAAAAGCGGTTGATTTTCAAAGATTTTCAATAGGAAGCTCATTTAGGCATGTTTTAAGGTTCTTTTTAGATTCAAGATATTATAGACAGTTTTTCAAACCAAGGAATATTTCAATCATAATGAATGTCCTGTGAGCATCATGTAAAGTTTGTTGGTCATAAGATTTTATTTTTTTGGTAAAATTTTATAAGTCTATTAATAAACCTTTTCTTAATGATTCATGGTTCTTTAGATATTCCACTAACATAACATCCATAATCTTGTAAGTAAAAATTAGTATAATATTTGATAGTATCAATTGCGGTCTTGATGCATTCTCCTGGTATTTTTCAGTAAGGGAAATTCGATGTTATTCCCTTTTAAGGAATTTATTTGGAGAAATTACATTCATAACATTCAAATATTAGCTATTTACAAAACTAATGCCCTGCTACCTCCATTTTTTATATTCTCATATAAATATCATAATTCACTTAAAACGCCAAACCATATATTTCACTTTGTTAAATTGCCAATAGTTTTATAATAACATGTGGAAATACATGAACACAGTTATTAAAAAAAATGAGATGGGTATTAGTTTTATAAATAGTAAGATTTCAGTGTTTGTAATTCCTCAATTATTTTCTCTCAAGCAAAACCTAAGGTTTGGGTTTTGGGACGAAAGCAAAAGTAGAGATGTGGGTTATTTGCTGGTTAATTTCTAGATTTTTCGAAAGATAAAGGCGGTGACCATTATTTGTGGAGGGGCAGTTGTAGGGCAAGGATTCTCGATTAGTTTTTCTAGAGAGTGGAGGTAACTTGTAGAGAAAGAAGAGTATTAGGAAATAGAGAGAGGGGGCCAAGTACATGTATAATTTGGATGGGGGAAGCTTTAGAGATAGAGAGGGGGAGATTTAGGCTTCGTTTGGTAGCGCATAAATTTTTCCGTTTGCGGTTTCAATCGGAAAAAAATAAGTATTTTAATGTTTGTTTGCGTCTCTTTTTTAAAAGGCCTTTTCATATAACTCCGAAATAACACTGATTTCAGAAGTAAAAAAATTCCGCTTCTCCGTTATGATACTTCCGTTTAAAAATGAATAAAACTCCGGTGGAAATCAAACGAAGCCTTAATTAGATGGTTTGGGAGTAATATTTTTTAAAAATATTTTTGTTAGGCCGCCAGAAAAATCTCTAAATTTAGGAGCATGTTTAGGCTTTTTTTATAGAAAGAATTTTGGTTTGGAATTTCTAACACTACTGCAGTCAAGAGAGGTTTATCTTGCTAACACTTGGCGTTAATCATGTGATTTGAAAAAAAATTAATTATATATGTTGTTGTGATTAGAAGCATTATAGTTTTATGCCCCACACATTTTCTATAAATAACTTCACTTGTTTTAATTTGTCTTCAAGTTTTCTATAAATATCTTCATTATGTTTGTTTCATCTCGTAAATCAAATTCATTAAATTATATTATTATTGCAATTTTATGTCTTACAAATTTCATATAAATATTTTAAATATTATCTTCAAAATTATTATAAATGTATTTATTATATTTTATTTATGCTCTACGCCAAAAATGAATTATTCTATCATGTAATTTGGAAATAAATGCCATTTGTTGTTAAGATAAATTAATCCTGACGGTAGTGTGGGCTCCGAAAATTCGGCTCCGGCCTCCGCCCGTCTGATTGCTTCTCTTCGGCGAGGGAGTTTTAATGGAATAAGTTACGGGGTAAATTTTGGAAGGCAGATGGGTTTGTAGATAAGACACTACCCAGATATTTCTCCCTCATTTTGCGAGGACTTTATGATCTGAGTTCTGGTTTCCTATAGGCGCAAGCCCCTATAGTTAATTACCCCTCCTGATAACTAGAGAGAACTTTCAATTAAGGCTAGTCATCAGTCAGATACATAGAAATACGTGTTATATGGCATATAGTAGCAGCATTAGGCTTGGAGATTTGAAAGGTTTGGACTTGGGAATTGATATTTAAAATAGAAATTTCACCATCTTGCACTTAAATCAGATGGTGGGGGAATGGATGATGGACCAGATTACAAATTATGGTGTATGTGCAGGGGTATTTTGGAATATTTTAGCTGTGTAGGTAATTGTCATTTGAATACACTGGTAGCAACCCCGAGACCCAAATGTTTTTTTCTTTTCTAAAAACTATCTTAAAATTAATTTCAAATATTAGTTTAAATCAATCTTAATTTTAGGGGGATGAGCAAGAGGGTTTAATTTTTTATAAATTATTAATCTCTTTTTTTCTTTTTCCTTTTTTATTTCTCTTTTTATTTATCGGATTTTTTTTAATAGGGTAGAAATTGAGGATGGGAAAACCAATGGATGTGGTGTGGAAATCAAATAATGGTATGGGAAAAGGGTGTTTTGACCAGGTAATTCTAAAAAAGATGCGGAAGAAATTTCAGAGTTTGCTCGATTCCATAATTGATGGATATGGAATTTTCCTTGGTTAGCAAATTGGACAAGAAGATGCTAGGGTTTATGAAAGAATGATAATGCTTGAGAATTCTTGAAGAGAGGAGAACATACATACAAATTTGAATACTATAAAATATCTTGAATGAAGAGGGCAGAGGAAGATAACTCACAACTAAGAGCTATACGCATTCACAACTAGGATTAAATGAGGAGGAAGCAATCAATCGCTAATTGCCTAATCAAGTAATTCATTCAGCATTTATAATGCATAAGTTTGTTAAATTACTCCTGTTTATAAAGAAAACAAACTTCAAATTAAGATTGATATTATCGTTATTCTTATTGCGTTTAATCTAATTTAAAAATAAATTAAAAATTGTGGAATTTGGCTGAAATTCATAGGTGTTATAGAAAAGCTTTAAAATTGATCTAGCTTGGCTCTTTTGTAGCGAGGTTTGACTCTATATAGTGGGCCTATTAGAAATTGGTTTCATCTGGGCTAAGTTTGGGGGATGTTCAACCAATGCTTATTGTATTGAACGAAAAAGAGTGGAAAAATACGGAATGTTTTGGTATTGAGGTAAAATTGGGAAGTCTGTGTGATTTAGATTTTCATATTCAATATTCTTGTTGCTACTAGTAATCTAACATTTGTTGTCTGTTTTTAATGGATCAGATACATGAAGACCTTAACTCAGAAAAGCCCTCTGTTAAGCTGCTGTACGTGACTCCAGAACTGGTTGCAACATCAGGGTTTACTGTAAAGCTGATAAATCTTTACAGCAGAGGGCTGCTTAGTCTAATTGCTGTTGATGAGGTTCAACATTTCTTTCTCATTTATCAACGAAGATTGGCTTTTTAAGTTTTTATTTGTTCTTTTCTTTTCAGTTTTCACCATATGACTCTTATTTGTCTAGTTTTTATTTTCCATTAATTTTTATTGCATTAGGCACATTGTATTTCCACATGGGGCCACGATTTCAGGTTTGCTATGGCTATTCTATGATTTCCCGATTGAACATTCAGTTAGTTCAATTTGTGAGCAAATATATCGTAATCCGTGTGATTTGTGAATTACTATTGAGCATGCTTGTGATACAGACCTAGCTACCGGAAACTATCTTCTTTGAGGGATCACATTCCAGGTGTGCCGATAATAGCTTTGACAGCTACTGCTGTTTCTAGGTGAGTTGCAGAACATTCCAGGATCTTTAAATTCTGCAAGTTTATACATCCCTTTTCATTTCTTGGACATTTCTCCTTCAAATCCCTTTTTTTCTAAGTGCCTATAGATACTTTTTTTTTGTTAGCTGAATACAATAGCTGAACTAACATTTGTAGAACTACAAAATGTTGACATTTAGCGAATGGCTTTAGTTTCTATATCAATGAATATGGGAATGGTTGATGGAAATGGTCGTGTTTATCAAAGTATTGATATGAGCAAAGTTTATTTGTTTTCTGCAGTTGTTCTATTTTTATTTTAGTAAGTATTATTTATGCAATCATGTCTAGGATGATGACTTACGAGAATGTGATGTATTCTCTTTGGATCTAAGTTCGGTGCGGTTTAATTGTATTTGTAGCAGCCGAATGATTATTTTTATACAGTTTGAATGGTTGTTGTTATCAGTTTGATTTGTATTCCTGTTTATCTGACCTATTTTCCCGCAAGAAGGCAAGTCAAAATTTCTGGGAATTTCCACGGAAATGGGATTTCAACACTCAACTCCCCTGCAAAATTCAAATACCATCGATTTAGAAATCTTGATGTTTATTAATAAGAAATTCTGAGGCATATAAAAGAAACTAGATTGAATATAATTTCTCTTTCTAGTTGTAATCTTATAATGTAAGTTGGATGTATAATTTCTTTGAGTGGATGTAAGTGTGCTGTTTGATTTTGGGAAAACAATCTGCTTATATTGATGTGAGGCCTAATTTTTTCTTTGAAATTTTATTATCTTATTTTGTCTAAATAGTTTATTAATATTCTTGATTCCGTTAAAAAGGTGAAATGTCAACAGTCCAATATTTGAAAATTTATTTAAAATTTTCTTGTTGATTTTTTATGTTTAAAAAATTCCCTTTTGTTATTTAGATTTTTTGTTATGATTTGGAATTTAATTATATCATTGCTTGTTCACATCTAAAGAAATTTGAAGAAAGTAAATTGTTGAATTAATTGGTGACTCGTTGCATGTGAATCCTCAATTTTCTTTGGATGAAATCTTAATACATATTATATTAGTTGCATTAAGAAGCCTTAGCTCTTAGTCATTTTGCATCAAATTGATATTAGAGCTTTCAATTATGTTAACATATCATTCAAAAGCTGGGCTAATTATTAGGGTAACATAACAAATTGTGAGAGATAAAGTTTTAGCAACTTTGCAAACTCAATATATTGAATTGCTAAACAAGTAAAATCAACAATGTGATGACATTAACATAGTTAAAGCACCAATTGAAACAATGAAAATCAATCAAGTTCATCAATTGAAATAATGATAATTAATCAAGTTCATTGATGTGAACCAGAAGTGGATTCCTTCTAATAACAATAATGAACTAATTCAATTTAATGTTAACACTATGTTAGGCCGGTCCAACCGGCCCAAGGAAAGGCCGGCCCAAGTCTACATGAGGCAGACCAAGCAGGTGTGGACCCCACTAGGGAATCTAATAAGTAGGGGGCGGCTAGGGCTGGAGGGAAAATTTGACTCGTGTCTTTGAATTTATGCTTTAAATAGGAAGAGAAAATTAAGGTTAGGGTTATCTAATAATTGGTGACTGTTGGCGTCTTTGGTAATATTTGATGTCTTGGGCTCTAGTGGCTTCTAGAAATTGGGAGAGATAGATCCTCCTCTCGAATTGAGGATCAACTGTATCTTGTTATTTTCTTTCTATTCTTCTTGATTCTTGCAAAGATGTTTTTTTTGTTTTCATTGGAGTTTGGAGGAAATTTCTCACAGTTTTTTCAAGATTGATAGGGTTTATTTGAAATGTTCAAGTGTTTCCTATCACATTATCAATAGACGAGGAGATATTCAAGAGAAACAATTTAGGGTGTTTAACAATGATGCTTATGAAAATCATAGACATAGAAAACTTTGTTGTAGATGAGACCATAGCCAGAAAAGTTTGTTAAAATGTCTACTATGATGGTAAAATTTATATTAAAGCTTTTACTAATTGGTGATTTGATGTCTATGTTTTCTTTGGATGACAAACAATGTCTAATGAATGACAAATGTGATTTGCAAGAATGAAATTAAGCAGTCAAGCTAAAATATATTAGATGATCACGAAAGAAAAATGAAAGATTGGGAAGAGAATCTACTACAATATGGACTAAAATGAAATAATTGTTGGAAGGTAGGTATTTCCCTTTGTTATATTGGAATTATTTGCTTGATTAATTTAATTCATAAAGTAAGGACTAAAAATGAGAGTATATGGAAAACTTGAAGAATTTGTGATGTTCTTATATCATTGAAGATTTTAAAATTTAGGTTAGGTTTGAACTTGATATGAAAGAAATAACGCCTCACTACATTTTATTACTTGAGCATGTTTTTCAACTTGTATTAGATTTTAAGTAAATTTTAAAATTTCATTTGTATAAGTGGGTCACTATATTGAGGGAGTGTATTGTTTCATCAGCGCAATCAAGTTTAATATGTTATACTTATTGTATCTAAAGGTGGCATCACGATTATCAATAAGGATAATAAGGGGAAAATAATTTTCTTTGTATTGAAATCCAAAATTTCTACAAAGACAGTTTTGAGTGTCATTAAAGTAGTCATTATACTAGTGAGAATACCAGTAGGAACTTTAATATAAATGTGGAGAATTAAGATAATGAAATTAAATATTTTGATGATCTTCATGATTTTGATGAATAAATTACTGATTCTAAGGTTTTTTATTAGATAATTCTTTGAATGTCATGCATTGCATTATTGGTATTCTTAAATGAATCTAATTGATAGAATTACAATTTTTCTAACTTTATTTCAAATATGAGGCATGAATTTGAAATTTGAACTCCATCCATAGGATGACAACCATATAACATAGCTTGGGTGGATAAACTTATGTTTTTGTCTCTAAGATGTTTAGTTTCGATTCAATTAATATGTTACCCATGGACTTAGCTCACTTTATTTTGGATAGGCCTTGAGTGTATAATTTGGATGTCACTCATTCCAGGTGATCTAAAATATATGAGTTCAAGATTAATGAGAGAAGGCTTGTATTGAACCTGCAAAGTCTAACAGTAAATTTGAGTTTACATTTTTTTTTACCATGAAATTCATTTCAGTTGATGTCATTCCAGAAGTAGAAATTGTCACTATTTATCAGTTACAGGGAACTTAACAAACTCTCAGCAAACAACTTAAACACATGGCTTATTAAGGCTTCGTTTGGGACGGCTTTTCTACTGCTTCTTAAAACGGCTTTCTCCTACAAGCATGTAACAAAATTGCAAAAATAATTGTACTAAAAAACCTTTTTAAGAAGCAGTAGAAAAGCCATCCCAAACAAAGCCTAAGTCCCGACTCCACTATTCTCCTACATGCATGTAACAATAGACACTCAAATGATCAAGAAAAGCAGAATCAGCATCACCAGTGATGCCTTTGAATGAGTTGCAAAAGGAAATGAACTAAGAAGATAAGGTGAATTAACTTACTACTTGCTGCGCTTCACAGCTCGCCTTCCCTGGCCCTTCTTAGGAGGACCCTTACCACGACACTCGAGCATTTCGAGCTAAGCCAATCGCTCCTCTTCCCGAGCCAACATGAGCGGATCATCGTTCTTGATGTCGTAAGGGTACCACTGTGCGACCTTCTCACCGATTAGCTTCTTTCGTAGAATCTTGTGCGGTGATCGCTTCCCTGTCGGGTTCAAATATCCTCGCACGCGCCTCCGTAACACCATGCAAAGCCGCCGAACAGAGAAGGTTCTTCAGGCTCATCCTTGATCACCGCTGCTGCTTCTCTTCGGCCTCTTCACTCTATCTAAGGAGTAAATTTGAGTTTACATAAGAGTCTAGTACTCCCATTAAAGTGAAAGCTTTTCATATTTTGCATAAACATGCATTTGAGAAGGAAACAGGCAAGAAGGTGTGATCTTTGCTTTAGCAGCTATTGAGTTGAGAAATGTAGTGTTGGAAATTGTGATTGTGCTTGATAATGTTAATCACATGTTGGTTGGGTTTCAAAATGTCTATTTTGATGAAATTCCTAAGGAATTACTATCACTTCATGGCATACATCATGCTATTATGTTAGCTCTCTATTATTATTACCTAATTTATCTAATTATAGTATGAATCTATTATAACTTGTAGAACTAAATAAATAGATTGGTTAGTTACTTGAGAAGGAATTTATTGGAGAAAACATGATTCCTTGCATTGTACTTCTTTTCTTACACCTAAGGTGGATAATTTTTAGATAATGTATATAGTCAATAGAGTCATCAACAAATTATTATTAAATATGGATTTTCTATTTCCTCGTTTGGATGACATACTATATATTATGAACAATACTATGATATTTTCTTAAGATTAATTTGGAAATGCAATGAGTTAAAAAGTATTTTCAAGACTGAAGATCGATCATATAAATGGTTGGTAATGCCTTTTAGATTAGCCAATGCACCAATTACTTTATATGGATAACTAATCATGCTTGCAACCTTCTATTAGAAATTTTTTGAATTGTTTATTTTGTTGATATTTTTATTTATAGCATTGCCTGAGATGATCATTTGGTGGAGCTTAGAGACTTACCAATGAGCTTATATTGAAATTACCTGATTTTACAATTAGGAAGGCATTTGAGGTTATACAATTTGAAAAGTTTTCTTTGAGTATGAAAAAAAGTTTTATGGCTCATCTATGATATATGTTTTGTTGTGACCGGAGATGGACTGTCTTTTATTAGAATTCTTTTGTTGTAATCAAAATAATTCATGATTATCCAAAATCAACTAATTTATTTTGCATTCAGAGTTTTCATGCTTTGATTATTTTTTATTGACAATTTATTAAGTGTAATATTCATATATAGAGACTTACTAATGTGCTTATATTGAAATTACCTGATTTTAATAAGTCATTGATGTTTCTTGTGATGCATCCACTATTGGTATTGAAGGAGTGCTAA